CAACATCGAAAACTATTGATTATTTTTAAAGAACTTTTTTGGATAACACACGTTTTTGCCAGTCCGCTTTGCTAATTTCATAAATACAAAATAATTTAAAATATAATTCCTAACAGTTATTTAATAAGCGTTTGAATTGAATATGTTTACAAATTATTGCCTGTACTTTTTTTATTATTATTACAACATGTTACATTTTTACTTAATCGTTTTATAGTTAACTTTTCAATTATAGAGATCTGTAATTTTGACCTGCAAAAAACAAATTTTAAAATAAAAAGTTAACACTATGTATTTTCACTAATTCAAAAAATATTTTATCTGTACACAATGCGACCTTTTTAGTTAAATGTTGAACAAATTATTAATAAAATTTTAAATAAAAATTTCTTTCACTGTATTTGAAATTTGATTTTTGGTATAATTTCAGGTGTAAAATGGTTCGTGTCAGGGCGACCGTCCTGTGCTTCCCCTAAAATTTCCCAAACAAACAGATCGACAAACAAACAAACCTGCGGAGGGCAAGGCAAACAAAATCAAATTGTTGCTGTTTGTTGACCTATGTACTCCCCTTAGCCAGTCGCATTTTCAAGAAGTCCCCCATCCCCATCGGACTGGATTCTTATTTGTTTACATTTTCATTTCTTTGGAAAAATGGCAGGACAAGGGGAAACGAAGCGAAACGAAGCTTTTCGGTTGCAAGGTGTCTGGGGAAATTAACAAAGCCGCAGGTGCAGTGCCCTGCGCCTTCTTTCGCCCAAGCAGCCCAAGAGTTTCCAAGGCCTGTCCTTGGTTGATTTTTAATGAAATATGAATAGGTGAGACATGACGCTTGATGAGTCAACGAACTTGCCAGCAGATTCTTATCGCTGAAAATTACGCATACGCAACGTTGAGCAGTGAAAGAATAAATTCCGTTCCTTAACCCTTTTCCGGGCTGGCCCAGTTAATTATCACGAGCCAGCGCACAGCTAATTGGAGTTTAACCTTTCGGCCGCTGCGATACTTTTGGCATATTTATTTATTTACCCTCGCTGGCGGAATTATAAAATAAACCTCGAGGGATGGCCGCCTGCTTCCTGCTATAAATACCTACAGAAAATGGACCACTTAGCCGCTTTTATCTAATTGCCAAAGCTTCGATTTTCATTTTGTCAACGTTTCCCTCTAGCTCGTCGGTTGTCAAATATTTTTCTCATCACGCAATTCCTGGATACATAAATTTAAATTGAATTTTAAAAATTCACAAGCCAAAGAACACCTTCAAAAATGTTCGAGTGGGTGTGCGGGTGTGCCTAATAAAAACGTTTGCTTTGCAATCGATTTTTGGCTCGTTGGCTTCACATTCCCGACTCGAGTTTATAAATATTTATCCGTAGCATTTTTGGGGTATGGCTAGGGCTCTGGTTGGAGGCGATGAGTAGATGATAGGATGGGAAAACTATAATTTAATGTGAAACGAAAGGCTACGGGGACACGGGGCGAATGATTGATGAAGTTTTGCGGACAACGCATTTTTTGGTTTTGAGGATTTTTATAAGTTAGTGGATTTTTATAAAGTATCATTTAATGCTGTGATTATGGACTCATTAACTGTTCTATCTGATTTCTGAATGTATTTAAATTGAGTTTAAAAGGCTTATGAGATTAGTTTATAACTAATGCAACCACTAAATGCTTGATTCTGGAAAACTTTAAAGCAGGCCTGCCTATTTGACAGGATTTCCCGAGAAATCTTAATGGATTTAAAAGTAAAAACTCTTATTTAAGATTTTTAAATAAAAAATATTGTATAATATTTAATTTATTTCACATCAATATATGACTAAAGCGTCTTAAAGCTGAGAAATTGTATCAGATAATACCTGAACTTAAAAATAATCCAACTTCAAAAGCAACGCTAAAGTTTAAAGAGCCATCTAATTTCTGATTACTCATTAGCTCAGCTCTTGAAGCTCATCAGATACTCACGCCCACGAATTCGCATATCCACCAGCGGAAGCTCATCAATTTTTGAACAACTCTCACAGCCGAATGCGACTTTTGGGCTCATCACAAATCCCCCTGGCAGTCAATAGATAAACTACAGCACATGTGACAAGAAACCGTGGCTTAATTACCTGCCGCAAGCTGTTGCCATTAACAACACATTTTTGCACAGGACCGCGGGATCACGGGGCTAACCCAATCGATGACTTAGGGTGAAACACTCAGGGGATCAGGACGCAATTCAATTAAATTGTCACAACCCACAGAATGACTGACTTGGATTTATAGTCCAATTAATTGAAGCAACGTCAACGCAAATGCAAAATTAAACGATTACAAATGCTACTCCTCACCGAGAAAGACGGATGCTGGTTGGCTGGCAACTGGCAACATGCAGGCAAATTTGTTAACAAAAAAGGATTTCCATGTCGAGATTTGCGAGCAACCATCCATCCACGCAAAAAAAAATAAAAGGCAAAGAAGGGAAAGTAATTTAAATTTGTAAATCGATAGGCTTGACGGTCCTCGAACCCTTTTTTTTTGTTGCTTGTTTTTTTTACGTAATGCTGTTCCCATTTAAATTTTATAAATATTTTAACCTAATAAATGCCAAACGAGCGGTTGCCCACGGCGCCTAGAAGTCCCAGAATTTGCATAAACTAAAGAGTAGCTCGTCTTTTACTCCTTTTGGCTTCCACTCAAGTGTTTTCTGTTTTCGACTAGGGGCTGTCCTTTTCGTGGGCCTCGACAAACATTCTCAACTTTACTGCCGAGGGAGCCGCGGGCGACTTTTCCAACCCCTTTTCCTTCTCCTTGGCTTACGCGAAGAGTTTCCTTTCAGGTGTAGGTCCTTACAGCAGCTTTAACGGCTAATGGTCTTTGAATCTCAACACGCTCCGGCTTAGGGATGAATATTGACAAGGCAGTGCCGAAATAACGTTCAGGCCAAAATATCGACTATAATAAGTTAAGATAATAATAACACGGATAACAAACATATTGCCAAAGAAGTTCTTTGAAAGAACTGTAATTATCATTAAAATACCGGTCTAAATTATCATATATTAATATTAACAACGATAGTTATTAATAAATATTTATATAGATTTTATATAAAAGCATATTACTGTGTTAGATAATAAACCTACTTCAAAAAGATTATATCTAGCTATACATAAAGTCAAATATCGATGTACTATAAAATCTTATTACAATTCCACTTGCTATTTATGTTACAAAAACAGTGTTTATAAATAAACCCACTTGAAAAAATCGTTATTTTCATTTTACACAGCTTTCAAGATGTAAGTGAATTTTATAGATCGATCATCCCTAATTTAGACCCCTTGATGGTTCGTTTCATTGACCCAACATGCAAATTGACTGTGAAACAAACAGGCGGAGGAGCATCCCGACTGCAAATAGACATAGGCAAAGTTATACATTCGCATGAAACGAAATCAGAAGTCGCACACAAACACACACTGGAATCAATGAGCCCGCACAATTTATGGCTCGGCATATCCTATATGCCATCTGCCTGTTCTTTTTGCTGGTTTTCGCTATAAATTATTCCCCTCACACCTCGAAAGGGAAAGTAAAAAGGCGGCAGATACACTACCACCCCCCTCTCCCCCCATCACCATGGCAAACATAAAATATTACACATGAGTGGCTTTTATGCAAAGAAGCTGAAGCGAGAAATGTGGCAGTGGAAGACGCTTCCCCCGACACTTTAAACTTGGCTAAGCAACAAGTTGGGCATTTCCCGGACCGGAATGGGAAGAATTATTGCATTGCGGGAAACTTAAAGAGCCAGCGGAAATTGTTGCCGCCTTTTAGGCCGACAACCAGGGAATGATTTATGTGCCGCCTGCTGGCAGGATGAGGGGCTCATCCCTGCAGGGAGTACAAATCTCTTGGCGCCCGTTTTGCATGCGAGGGCATGTGGTTCGCTCGTTCATTAACAATTCATTAAATGCCACCAGGAAAAATTAAACGCAAAGCTGAACAGGGCAATTTTATTCTAAGCAGACAGGATACCGAAATCCGTTTTCATATGTGGTAAATAAATATTAAAAAGTCTTTGGAAAGCTACTCTGAACAGCGAGGTTATCAAAAATGGATTTTATATGTAATATAAATAAGCGTAGACTTTAGTTTGTCGGGTTCAATGTAATAAAATACAACAATATACAAATAAAACAAAATAAAAATTTGATTGATGTAAGTAAATCAGAATTCATAATAAAGTTATAATATTTGTTATTATGTTGAAACAATTGGATTTTAAAAACCATAACAGCAATGGGAAAAAATTTGTAAAATTGATCTTCCACTAAAATAAAGGGTGCTCCAAAGGGAATACAAATTCTCCATCCAAGAACCACAATTAAATTTGTAAAATGTAATATGTGCAATTATCCTTATGACTATTTAATGACCCTCAGTGTTTGGTTAGCAAAAGGCAAACAAATGGGTGAAAACGTAATCAATAAATAATTTCCGCAACAAGTTTTGATGACAATTTCATTGGCTCTGACAGTTTTGGTTGGGGTTTATTTTCAATGTAATACGCATTTAAATTATGTTAATTATTCATACGTACACAATTGGCTGTGAGAAAAACGGGCCAAAGTAAACTAAAAACAGAACAGAACCCTAACTGAGCGATTTTGAAGAGCCCTTTTAGAGTACTTCCGTACATTTTGACGGTCTGGTAAATTAACACCTCAAAAATAGATATTTTGAGCTAGGAAAAAAACGTTATAAAAATAAGTGAAATAAAAAAGTGTGGTGCTGAAAGGTCAAGCCGTTGAACGAGGGCCAAAAGCGAAGCCACTTGACATTGTCCAAAGCAAAACTGAAGCAAGGCAAAGCCCCTAGGAGGAGCACTCCACTTTCAAGTGGCTCCATTTGTTTCAGTCTCATTTTTGTTGTTTCTCTAATTATGGCCGTACTCGTTTTTGGCTATAAAATGAGCAGCTGGCCGTTGGCAAATCATCAATCAGCTCAGGCAACTTTCAATTGCAAGACGCAAATCGTAAACCCAAAAAGCAAACCTGAAAAATGGTAAGTCCTCAAGGATTTGAATTTTTGAAAAGGATTAATTAATATCATAAAAGACAAAATAATAAATAAAAAAAAAGAAATACAGAATTTTGATCATACTCATTAATCTCAAAGTAAATAAAGTAAATGAAAAGAAGAAACAGACACAGGATTTTAATCTTAATCATCATAAAATCTTTTGTTTATGATTAATAATATATATGTTTTTCAGAAAATCTTCTCGCTTGGTGGTGTCCTTACCCTGTCGGCTGTTGCCAGCGTTGCCTTGGGTGCTCCCCAATTCGAATCCCGTCTGCGCCGCGATGTCTCGGAACTGGTGGACCCCGCTGCCGTGGAGTACCTGCCTCCCTCGATCACGGAGGCTGCCCCTGCCCTGCTGAATGTTGAGCCCGCGGTGGCTGAGCCTCAGGCCGAGGTGGAACCAGCTGCCCTGGAGGCCGATCCCGAGGAGGGCACTGTCCTGGGCGATGAGGGCTACGAGTACCGCACCGTGCGCCGCCTGAAGCTGCGTCATCGCAACCGCCGGGATGTGTCCCATTTGCAGCCAGCCAGGCAGTATCTGCCACCCAGCAAGTCCTACTTGCCGCCGGCAGCCCAGGAGGCTCCTGCCGCTCCAGCTGCAGCTCCTCCAGCCGATGACACCGAGGAGGTGGTGTCCGCTGCCGAGCCCAAGGTCAACCGGGAGTACCTGCCGCCCACTGAAGCTGCCCCGCTGGCCGAGGAAACCACCGAGGCCGAGGTGGCTGCTCCCGAGGAGCCAGCCGACGTCCGTGTGGTGGATGTGCCCACTGTCTCCGGGCAGCTGCTCCAGGACGGCTACCATTACCAGCAGCCGGCTGAGATGCCCGCTGAGCTGCGGGAATCCGCCCCGGAGTACCTGCCTCCAGTTGGCGGCGAGGAGGTCATCGTGGAGGGTCCTGCTGGAGGCGAGAGTGCCGTGCTGACCAACGATGGCTACCAGTACCGCGCCATCAGGCGTTACAGATTTTAAATTTCTCAATTTGCCAGCGATTTGCTAATGTTTTTTTCAAACCTTTTATTGTTGTTAATGTTTTTTAATTGGTCTTAATAAAATTGAATTTTTGAACAGTATATAAACATTATTTTAAATTTGTGACGGAAAAACAAACAATTAAATGCTTGCAGATATAATTTTTATCAATTCGCCACGGTATGTTATTTTTGTATCGCCGAATATGTAAAAAATATAATTAAAGTGTTGAGAAAAAAGCTTGGAAAAAACTTTAAAAATATTCGGTTGTGAGTTTAAGCCGCGGAAAATCTGTTGCAAATAATGTTTTACATAATTAGTTTATTTTGTATGCATATTAAGTACGCAATAAAGCATGAAAATGCAGAAAAATAATGCGATTAAAAAGAGCCAAGAGAAGGGTAAGGAAAATGTGTTTTTTTTGCTTGGCCAGTTTAATGAAATATGCAAATATTTAAATCGATAAGAAAACGAAACCATTAGATTTATATTTAAAGCATGTGGACAATTGTCATGCCAATTAAACAATAAATCCTAGGCAACGACTTGATTATGTAATACTTAAAATAGCTACAAATCCTTTTGTATTTATATAATTAAAGTCAACAAGCGGATTGACTACCTTTCCCAAAACAAACATAACATTACGTATACGCCCTGAGCTCCGCAGTCAGTTGGCTTACGTTGTACATTTTAGCCTTGTTTAGTGTCAATAAAAGAGCTTTTATATGTAAGTCACCAATTAGCTGAATTTATGCCCAATGCCTGCTGGCAGCTGCTCCGCTTTGAAGGCTTCGATATGAAAATCATTGCCGGGTTTTATATGCATGTTCGGCCCGCATCCTCCTGTGCCCATTGGGTTGCCATGGACGCCTTTGGAGCTTAATTAATGCACTTGCGCGTTAACTCAACTCAATGGAATTGCTAAAAGGAATGGGTTCCGGAAAATCTTCCACAAGAGGACCAGCATTAAGTGCTCACTCAAGTTAAATTACTTTGACTGACGACAGCAGCAGCGGAGTGGGGAAAGCGCAGATAATGACCAGCTCGTCATTTTTACACACTCACTCTTCACTGGCCAATTTCTGCTTGCGTTCGCAATCGCCTTCCTCATCACGTTCGCTCCTTCACTTTTTTTTTTATTTATGAAATCAATTGTGCGAAATTCAATTAAAATCTTTGCACTTTTCGCTGCACAGACAGGCGAATCGAAGACGAGGGAATCCCAATTACATTCCAACATCTGTCCAAATATGATAAGCCCGTACCAACATTTTCCGCATGTTTATTTTAGGTCCGAAAGTCCCCAGGGGATCGGAACAGAAGGGCTTGTGAACGAGCTGCCTGTGACAGCCCGCTTATTGCATATTAAATTGAGAGGACAGCGGCACAAATCAGGAATCAAGAATCAGGCATCAAGCATCAGGAGCAACAAGCCGAGCAACAAGCGGCTACAATCGTTTTGAGTGCCCGCCCGGAAGGACATTTGTGTTTGTGGGAAGGAATAACAAAACCATCAAGTACGGACAAGCAGGACGAGTGGAGTGGGCACTCCTGTGTGTTTGGGTTAAAGTGACGCCAGTGATGGGAAATGCCGCTTAACGAAAAGGCAAACATATTTGGGAAAACGATTGGCAACAAATTTCAGAAAGATGACAGCTTTTTATACCAAATTGATGAACCACTAGCACCTCATGCTGAGCTCGAACTCGAATTAACTTTAGCATTATATGCCAAAAAGAAACAATTAAATACTTGCAATAATACCAACCATAAGCTTTAGTTATGATATAATTTTGAGAATCGTATAGGATGATGATAAATTGTCCCAATTTGCAAAGTTTTTGAAGCTGAAGTTTATTTTACACTGTCCATTTTAATTATATTTGACGAGATATACATCTACAAAAAAATAAGTATAAACTTATGAAAAATTTGTTTTCTGTAACACTTCGTCATTCGAGTATATTATTAATCATCAGCTGAAATTTAATCAACATGAATTCATTATAAATAACCTGTATCCTAAGGTTTTCAGAATCGACTGGTAAATTAAAAAAATACGCCAATTATTTATCTCAAAACGATTTTATCCAAATCTTTGGGAGAAAAAGTTTCGATCACAATCAAGTGTTTAAACTCTTGAACCTCAGCTGAACTTCGGATTACGTTTGACATTACCCTCGAAAAAGATACAACTACAGCCGAAAGTGCACACCTTAACCTGGGATAAATCAAATTGCCCTTGGGAAGTAAATTTCGCTGGCAAAAAGCCGGCACTGCAAGTGACAGTCTCGCCCTGTGAAACGTTATTAAAAATTATTATGCATATTTATAAATTTAATTTGTGCATTACAGCGCTTTCTGACAGATAACATGGAGTATGTGCGGCAGGCAAGGGCAGGAATCACTGCAGGCCATTTGAGTTGAGCTCGTAAATGGCAGGAAAAATTCATTCCACTACAGGCTGCGTATGCAGGATATTCCTTTTTTGATGTCCTTCCTATCTCTTTTTCTCCCTGTGGTGCACATTTCATACACGCTTTGTCTTTCGAGCGGCGAGCATAAAAAACAAAGGATGCCAGGATACGAGATACTTTCACACAGACGGTCGCCTGTCAAGTGTCGCGTTTAACGGTCGTCGAGGTGGCATCCTTAACCGAAGGATGTGACGTTTCGGAGGTGGTTTCCAAGTAATGCACAGAGGTGAAATGTTCGGTTTTTGGCTACCACATTCGCCCTTAATCAATGTCTCCCGCTAATTGAGTGCTTAAAATAAAATGTCTACTTTTGTCAACGTTTTAAAGGTTGCCAAATTTATAAACCCAATTTGTTCACGTTTTAATATTTATTGTGCATCATTTAAGAAAGACACAAATTTATTGGACAATTATAAAATTATTGCATATAAACATTCCTATTAATATATAAATTGTACATGGGCATATTAAACATAAAATTCAATAAGAAATAATATGTTTACCTACATTTTTTATAGATTTTAGTAACTATAAAAATACTCTGATTTATAAAATATATAATTACTCCTTCAGAGAATACCTTATTTTTTAATATAAAAATTTCGCTGCATAATTACTTGTTCGTCATTTTTTATGGATTTTTACATTAGATAATTTAGAACATTTTAAAACCACTCAAGTGCAAATTAACTCGAGCTTATCTCATCTGCTACTCTTTGACCAAATTTTGATCCGGGTTAATCTTTGCTGTCCACGGCAGGGTCTCAACTATTTGCAGCCCGACCCGGTCCCAGGCTTCCATCAGGAACTCGTTAATGGCCACTCATTTGGTTGTCAGTGAGCTATGAATAAGCAATTCGGAATCCCCTCCATCTGTCCGCAGCTGGAGATGAAAGTTTTGTGGCCTCTGGTCAGATTCCGACCAGCAGCAACAGGCAACTAAACTCGAAGCAAAGGTCCTAAAAGGGTTTCTACTTTTCTGTGTGTGTGTGTGTATGTGTGTGTTACCCGAGGAACAGGATGTGCCAGCCAGAAGCTTTGAAGTGCGGCAGGTAATTGGTTAATTATTAGGCCTTGTTTGCCTGCCCGGTTCTCGCCCTCGGGCACTCTCCACACAGCAGGCTAGCTACAAAATGGCAATGCCCGGATAAAATTTAACTGCTGATGTCGCCTTGGATTACACAATTGGTCAACTGCCAGTTATGGACACCACTTTTCACATCACTAATTAGAATCTCTCTTGGTTCCCTTAAAATATACCTATTTTCAAGTCATTCTCAAAGCCCTTAGGAAATGCATTTGCCAGGATTGTCTTTTTGTCTAAAAGCAGGTGTCTTTAATTTGTCACTAATGTAAGCAAGGGATTTGAATTAATAGAGTAATAATTAACATCATTTAAAAAATCAACAATTTAATCTAAAAATTCATATGATTTGTTTTAATCTAAGTTTGAATACTGATAATGATAAAATGATTTGAGGGCTTAGCTTTATTTAGAAGGCTCTAGTCTTAAACCAATGTATTTTCTCCATTTTTTTTAAAGGAATACTTACAATTTGCAAAATTCAAATCAAAATGTAAGGAAATTTAAACATCGGCTTAAAGCACATGTGTGCAAGCCTCATCTCTGGTGACAGAATGAAAACGAAACTACCTCTGCTAGAAATCATTTTTCACAGCAACTGTTCATTTTCATTTTCCACACAAGCCACACAAAATCCAAACACCTGTGTATATGACTTGCTCTTGACTTTTGCGTTAGAATATTAATAGCCTGACCACAGAAAATCTTGTAATTTTCGTCTAGGATTTTGTCCAACTAAGAGAGAGTTCATTTTGGGTCGTTATGAAAGCAATTTTCTTCTTTGTTTGCTTTACTTTTTTGTAGTTTTTGTTTGAATTGGCCATTTTAATTAAGTCAAAGTGTTTGCTTTACACACAAAAACATACAGAAAAAGAACGCACAGTGAAACAGTAAAAATTCATGAGTAAATATTTTTGTTTGTGATATATTTCTGGCTTTATTCTCGATGCAATCCAGGTTTTTTCTTCCATTTAATCTCTTCCTCTTAATTGTCAGGCGGATTTATTACTGTTCAATAATTATGCCAAACCAATGAATACTTAATAAGTGAGAAAATGAGAAGGGGCTTGAAAAGTTAAATTTGTTAAAATAAAAAGTATGATTACTTCTGCTTTTTATTATCAATTTCAAATTGACACATCTATAAATAATTGACTTGGAGCCAATTTAAAAACAGACATTTGGTTAAATGATTGATTTTGGACCAGGCAAACTTCTGGAAAATTTTGAACACATTATTTATAGATGAGCTTCTCTTTAAAGTAATTATTCGGACTTATCAGACAGTATTAAACTAATGAAAAATAGTAATACAGACAAATTCTTGGTGAGTTCTATTGGAAAATCGTTGGAGTTGGAGCATCGAATGTGGCATAGAAACACGTACGCAGGGCTCAGTCAGGATAACTACAAGGACACTCAACTAGCTGGGACAGACAGTGGGAGTGGATTTTGGCAGGACCTCGAGGGTGGGTGGGCAAAAAGCCTTGCCGTAACAACGCCAAAAAGACGGTAGGTCTAAGGCGTGGGAGTGAGCGAAATAAAAAACGCATATTGCGTAAATTTCGATGTCAAAGGCGGAGGCAGGTCACAAAGTCAGTTTCGGATTCGGATTCGCAGGCAGGCAGGTAAGACCAAAATCGAGGGCCAGGATACCAGAGTCAGGTGCGTGTGCGGCACTTATGAGTGGCACTTAGTCTGGCCTAATACCCATCATTAGAGCATTTAACAGGAAACACGTGACGCTGCATAGCAGCCCACCTGCCCTCCCATTATCCTCGTCATCTCACTCTGAAAACTGTGAAACAGTAGCAGTCGCTGGAAAAAGACTGGAGTGTGGCACTTTAAACAGGGCCTACGGTTTTCACACCCGAAAAGGATTTGTCAAAGCTTTTTCATTCGGAGGACGGGAAGGGGGGAAACTCTCCTCCAGGCCAGACACAGTGGTCGTAGATGGCGCGCTGATTGTGCCCAGGAAATGTAATTAATTTCAAATTTCTTCCATGTTCTAAGTTGGGGATAAGCGACTTGTGAGTACCGCGAGTTACAGAGAGATTAGTAATATATCGGCTTGAGGGATATATTTATTACCAACCAAACGATTTTGTAGATAACGTAGAAATTAATGAAATTTATTATATTCAAAACCCAAAAAACTGGGTAATTTATGTTGACTCAGGAAAATCGTTTTATTTTATTTCTTAATATTGTTTATTCTTTTAACGTATTTCCTCTTAGTTTTGTCTTTGACAAAATAAAATATACATAAACAAAACCGTTATAAATGCATTAAAAACGTTTTTTTTTTACTCGAAAGTTGGTTTGACTGTATATATAAAATATTTGCTTATTTTAATAAAAATTCCCATTACAACAATTATGCTTTGTCGTGCCATCTAGCGGTAGTTTACACAACCTGTAATTCTACATTTCTTTTACGGACTGCTTTATTCACTGTCAAGCAGTTCCCTTGGGTCCAAATAATACACTTCAAAAAAAAGTCACATTTTAAATAGTCATTTTATTTAGGTAATATAAAGCTATTCTTGACGGTAGCGCTGTCAACGTACGTTAAGCGTTTAAAAAATCGTTAAGTTGAATATTTCAGTGTCAGAGTGTGTGTTTGTGTTGTGTGGTTTTCGACTGTGGGAAGTTTTGTGCTTTTTTGCTGGATTAAAAGTAGAAAATCTAAATCGAAAAATACTTGACTGACATCCGCAGGCTGGGCGGCCCTCCATTTTGGTACGAACTTTGTACATTACAAGTTAAGAACTATTCTAATCGAAAGTTAGTGCATTAAGTAGACCAGAATGGCGGCGAAGGTGGTGGCCAGGAGACCGGAAATTCCAGATCCCAGCGACGGAGCACCGCCTGTCCGGCAGAAGTAGTCGCCACAGTCCGCATTTGAAATGTCCTTGTACTTATCCAGGACATCTGACCACTTGCACAGGCCAACTTTGCACCAATCCAACTGGACGGCCTCCTGGTTCAAAAAGAATTGAACCTTCTCGCGGTCCAACTGCGCCGGACAGACGTACTTCACAGCCACGAAATTGGAGGCAAACGGATCGATCCGACTGGACTTAAAGCGTCGGCTGGTCAAGCTCTCGTAGTTATCAGCCCTCAGTTTTATATCGTCCTTTTTGATGCCCAACGCAGTGACCAGGGTTAACAGACCCGTGGAGTGGCCAAAATGGGCCACCACATGCGGCGAAACGGGGCTGCTCAAGTGGGTGAGCAGGTCCTGCACCAGGCGGCAGTTAAGGCGCTCATTTTCCGGGAACCCATAGCTCGATCCGTAGTAGTACTTCAGATCCTCCAGGTACTCAAAGACCGTCACCTGCTCAGGCAAAAAGGCACCGCACCAGACGCTGTTACGGTCCACCTGAAATTGGTTAATCCAATTCGATTATTATTGAAAACAAAATATGTGTTCTTTAAGAAACTCACGTTCCAGGCCTGCTCGTAGCGGCACATATCGTACATCAGCTTGATGTCCTCCTCCTGCAAGGTGTACTGGAAACTGTTTGCGAAAAAATGTAACTTAATTGATGTTCTTTGACAAATCTGGTAAGCAGCTTGTTATTTTAATTCGAATAAAATATTTCAGGCTTACAAATTGAACCTTATTAAAATAGTTGGTAAACCTTGACTTAACTTTTTTGTAACAATCTTGTAAAAATAAGAAATAACCTTAGCCTTAAGGATTTAATTGGCAAGCTATGCGTTGTTGGTTATGGCTTTCATCTTATTAAATTCATGTTTTTTCTTTATTCAAATAAAATTATAAAAGTAGAAAATATAATAAAAACAAAAAAAGTTAAATATAAACAAAAAACATTTAGCTTACTAATAATCAAAATGTAATATAAAATAATTTTAAATACCAAAAGAAACCTTAAAGTTAGTTTACTTACCCCAGTCGTCTGGAGATGTCCGCCAGGGTGTCATTGTACAGCTTAGACTGATGGTACTTCTGGTATTCAGAGCCCTCGCCCTTGTAGTTCAGAGCCTTAAAGGTCGGGCAGTAGTCATAGGGTCGGAGCAGTAGATCCTGCTTGGGAATCTCGACGGGATGGGCGGAGTTAAGGGATCCAAAGAGACCTTCGGCGAAGGCCTTAAAACTTTCCGTGGTGCGCTGGGTATCCGTGTGACGGAACTGGGATGAACATGGGAAAAAAAAGATCATTAGGAATGGGTATTATTTCTGAAATCACCACTATTGAACCCACCTGGTAATAGGTATCGTTGAAAACCGGGGACATCACACTGGGGTAGTAACGCTGATACAGCTTGGCAGTGCCCCTGAGATCGTTGTAGCCCTGGGTGGTCAGATACTCATCCATGTCGGGCGTTATGCTGCTGTTCCATTTCCACAATTGAATGGCAAACAAATCCGTCTGGCACAGGGCATTCGTATCCGGTTTGGTCTTCGCCACTTTGTAATTATTTATGATAAGATCGCGCAGCTAAAAATGGAATAAAGATAATTACATTAATTTATTTAAAGAATTCAATAAAAGAAATCATCCACTGATCACTAACAAATGACTTAGACTTTAGCTGAATACAGATGACATATTTGTTAAGAGTATAAGGTCGTAAAACCGAAAGGCTATAGCTCATATTTGTTTGTAATAAATGGCTTCCTTAATTGCCAGCTTGTGCACACAAAAATATACTGTTTTGTCATAAAAAAGTCTGAACATTTTAATTCCTTTGTAAAATTTATAGATTTCACTTTCAATTATAGAAAATATTAAAAATACTAAACAGTAAAAAGAATCAAAAAAAAATATTACTTTGTCATATCTTTTACTTAAATTAAAATAGTGATAAATACAGAAAATCGTATTCTGTAGTTGTACTGATTTGTACATTTTGATTGTTGCCGAATATCTTATCTGTTCTTATTTAATTCATAATATTTGAGCCCGTTTAATTTAAATTATTTATAAATAAATAATTATTTTACAAGATATATTTTTGTGAGACTTTATAGAGCCGGACAAGATAAACCAAAAAGTTCTCGAAACATCAGTCTTAGATGGGACTCACCTCTTCCAACCTGGGCGCCTTTTTGATCATGCTCGTCTTGGGCAGCCGTGTGCCGTGTCTGTGGAAGATCCACATCTTCTGGGGCTGGCAGCCGTCCACCAAATACAGCTTTTCCATGTCCGTGCCCTTGGCGATCTGGTAGGCGGTCTTCGAGGAGAACTGGAGGGTCTGGGGCCGGGACTTGTCCTGGCTGAAGCAGTAGTCATCGTCTTGGGCGATGGCCACCAGTGGCAGCAGCAGGAAAATCAGCAGGCGCATTGTTCTGGGGAAATTCAGAAGGAAAAAACGGGAGAAAGTCAGCTGTGGGCGGGAAAAGGGTTGCTCGGACATTTAAGTGGCCCAGCCTTCGCTTGGGCGCATATCCTTGAACTGTCGTCCTGTCCTGTCCAACTGGCTGTGCCTGCTCTAATGGACACGACGAGTGTCATATGTGGAAGCCCCTGGAAACCACCCACCTCAGACAGCGGAAAGGTGTGGCATTTAAATTGCTTCGCTGGCGTCTGGCAAGGAACTTGGCAAGACAATCTGGGAGGGGCTCCACAGAATCGAATCGAATGGAAATCCAGTCAGTTCGGAGGAAATGCCAACACACACGCACCCACACTTGGGAAAAAATACCCTTTGAACCAGAAATTCATTTATCCTAACTTTTAAAAACGGTTTCCAAATTTTAGAATATAATAAAATGAACAAACTTGACAAATATAAAATATTATAATAATATTTCGATTATAAGGCATAATAAAGCATTATAAAAATAAACATTTTTAATATCTTTATTCTAAATTTAGGTTAATAAAAAAATGTATAAAAAAGTTATTTCCTTACACTCTCTTTAAACGTGTGACTGATTTCTGGGAATATAGAACTATTCTTATAGCATGTTAAGCATATTTTTTCTGAGTGCACTGAACCTGTGCAAAAAACTAACCTAACTCTAGCCCTAAAAATTAGGCTAATGATTTTCGGTTGGCCCCGCTGACAAATGGCTGCAGTTCTCCACGTGGCTTTTAGTCATCAGGCCAAGTCCATCAAACGACCTCCGACCCCTGTTCCCACCTTCACACTCCTTCCTCAATTAGGTCAGGCCAACAAGTTGGGATTGCTCATAAAAGATTGTAATGTTTCAATTTAGTGCCCGCATCTGACTTTGATTAATATACCTCTTTCCAGGGAATTTCGATGGGGATACAATAGCTCATTAACAACATGTAACATGAGTTGACTTTAATCTGAATTTTGGGTGACAAGCTGGCCCGACAATTTACTTCTAAAATTCAATTGGAAAGGGGTGTGCTTTCGAAATATATAAATCAAAATGAGTTTGAAAAACAAATTGACTGGTCTGTGGAGCAAGCATAAGCCCACGGAAAATCAAAAGGCATTGGCCTTAGCCTTGTAAGTGTTAATAGTATAATTAAATTACAAATCCAAATATACAGACACTAACTGATGCAACTAGTTAGTCACATGGTTATAGAGAAATAATAATTACTTATGACCACAGTATGCCATCAGCTGCCACCTTTGGACTGGCTGCAGCTTTGGCTGTTGTTTATTATACCGATTGGAAAGTAATTGCCGGATGGATTCCCCTATATAATACCAAATTTCCTAAACCCGAAGACCCAAAGAAAAAGAAGAAATAGGAGATGATATAATAGTGCTGCCTCGCACTATTTATTTCAGAGTCATATTGCTTCAAAATCAAAATCAGACCCTTGAAGATCGTGCAATCTGTGAAATATTATTGAATGAAACGTTTTTACTGGCTTTCAATATTTTGTTTGTATTTTCTGTGCCTTTTGCGGTTTTATGTTTCTTGTATTTAAGAAATGCATTTGGAACACGCTTCCAAAAAAAATAAATGTTCTGCCAGTCAAAACACAAGCTAAAAGAACAACAAATAAATTGTTGCCGCAGCACCAGAAATAGATGAACCGTATATCCCCGGAAAATCCCCTTAAACCAAAAGACTACATCTTGGAAACAAATTTGGGGTTTTCTGTTTACTATTTCGCTGGTAAATGCAGTTGGGAAACCTGTTGCTGATGGTATGGAAAATAAATAAAATGGATATGCGATACTAGTACACTGAAAAAAATATATAAATTGTACTTGATCTGTGGTAGATATTTATTATTTATTGATATTGATACTTTTTCATAAAATAACAGGTTCTTATTAAAAAAGACTTTATATGTGGTACAAAAAGAATATAATTCAGTTTCAGTAATGTATTTAAAATATAGAAATAGTATTTTAAATAAAAGAATATTTAAAATCAGACTATTTTAAATCGTAAAAGTAGAAAAATATATTATAATGTCATCATCATAATTAGTAATAATATTTTATTATTCCTATTATAATTTGAAACCATAGTGTTTTTAAACCAACTACAACATTATGTACCTTTTTTTCTGGGATATAATTAGATTTGAGAAATTTAAATGAACATTATGTATATTTTCTCTGTGCATCTGTGACGTCACTGCCATAGCATTGACAGCTGCAATTAGCTTGTGAAATTTCCAATTAGATATCCCATGTGCGGAAGGCCAAAAAGCGATCTGACACACGCATCTAATTTTGCTGCCTCCACTGCCATCTTTGCATTTTCAAGTGCAAAACTTGCCTCACATCGCATCCATCGGATTGGTTGCACTTTTCTAGTGCTCCAGAGTCTCTCGATACTATACGATCCGATCTGCGATCTGCCTTCTGAGACCCCCTCCTTAGGCACTCCCCTAATCAATTGAATGCCCCTCCTTTGTTTGCATTTTCAAGCCATTCCATCGGCATTTTTCTAGTTTTGTGTTTTCTCAATGCGAAATTAAAATTCCAATTTGGCTGGCATCTCGTGTTTACTTAGCTGGCTTTTATGAACTGGGAAAGCAAATTGCTTCAGCTTTTAACCCACCACCCTCCTCTGCATTTGTAAAACAGATTCGCCAACTTGGAAAACTAATTTAATCTCTGTATAATATTTATTATTTGATATTTGTTTAAATTTTCTAGAAAAGTGTGCGTGACATTTGGCCAATTTGCCTGATTGTCTATCTGTATATATATGCACCACCCCTTTTCATACACAGAAAGTAATTTGATTATTTGTAGAGTGATTTTATAATAGAAGTCATAAATGGTTTTAATATTGTAGGTTGAGTTGAAAATAGTTAATAGTTAGTAGAAAATATAATACGATCTTAATTATTTTTCGTATTATATATTTCTATATATTAAACCGAAAATAGGAATATTTGTTTCTGTGCACCCTCTCTATTCAATAAATTCTTAGTTTTTATATTCCTAGAGCTATGCCCTCGCGCTGGTTTCATTTTGCGGGCTTCGGTTTTTTTAGAGCATAGAATAAATCAAAACCAGAAATTTATTTTCAGTTCAGTTTTTTTTCCAACTTTGGCTAATTTACTGATTTTTTTTCTTTTTATTTTTTTGGTCCGTCTCCAAAAGAAATTCATTGCCTCTTACTCAAAATTCAATTCATCATTTTACCAATTGATTTTCCAGCGCACTTTGATCGATCTGAGATCGTTGAACTTTTACGGGGAAATTAAATAATTTCGGTTACGAAACAATTCGAAGATATGGAGCAGTGAATGCGCAGATACTTGCATCAATTGCTGGCCAAGTTAATTGATTACACACGCAAACAGATGGATAGCGATTTTTCGAGCGTTTTGTTAGCGGTTTTCACAGCTGCTCGCGAATATTGTCGCGAAAGAAATGTACAAAGAAATAAAAAAAATGCTAAAATCAAAGCTCTGAAACTACTGTGCATATTAATTAGCATATGTGTGCAAATGAGTGGCAGGCGGAGAGCGAATGCCAGGTCGACCAATTATCGTAATGATGCTCAAGCGCAATTCACTTAAAATCCCCGACACGTTCTCCTATAATGGCGCATATTTCATACACACCATATAAACCGAGATATTACATATTTATGGCGAGTCTTAGGCGACCGGAACATCCATGTTCCGAGCATAAAATAAAACATCGGGACTTTGGGCAGACGCAGCAAGGCCACTATCTAGTTATTATGCAGACATCGAATTTCTTCGGGGAACCGGCGTTTGGAGCACCGGATAATTCTAGGCTTGCCTTGGGGAATCTTTAATTAAAAGCGATACCCGAAAATTGCCTGGGAACATTAAGTATTTAATTTATCACCCAGGGCCCCAAGGCGACCTTCCCCATTACAAGTCCAATCTATGGGATGATGTCTGGTCTGTGTTTTGTCGGAAAATTTTTTAAAATATGCCGCCTGCTTGACCTCAGCGTGACAAGTCGTAAGTGTGTTGGACGGGGGGAGCCGTCTTGGAATTTTGAAAGAGTTTTCAAAAGTATTTTTGGTATAGTTTCCTAGCAGCCGGAATATCTTTCGTCTGTCGAAAATAGAATTGCTTCATTTCTAATGATATATTAACTAATGCCCATTAAAAACTGGCGAATGAGACTATTTTCGTCGGCAAACAAGGAAGGCGAAGGAATAGAATTGAAAGTGTTCCGGTTAAGGTTAAGTGACCAATGGCGAATGCCAAAATGGTTTTGGCAATGTTTCAAGAGTGAAAAACTTTTGACAAATTCAGCAATTTATTTGAAGCAAGTGGGGGAATTTTCAAGAGTAAGTGATCGAGAGAAATTCTCTCTCTAAATATAAAAAATCGGTGATGACGAAGAACCAGTTGAACTTATTTATATTTATATAACAGTGCGTTACAAGTTTATTAAAAAGCTTAGTAAACAAACAAACCTATAAATTGTGCAACTTAGTTGAAACGATTAATGGCAAACACACCTACTCTTTTTCAAGAGCAAACAAAGAGCAAAACAAAAAATAAGCCCGGAAATCGTAAAAAAAATAAACACATGCGTGAAATGAAAGAATTCTAATACGTCGTCAACCTAATCCTATTTAAATTATATTTCTTTGCTATGGATTAAGTATACATAAAAATGATTTATGCGAATTAAGGAATGATTATATATAAATACATATTTTAAACGATTAAACATTTTTAAATTTTCAAGCTCTAAAGTTTGTTATAGAAAAAATCGTTTAAATACCGTTTTGAAATTCTACAATTAGGTAAATCAAAATTAATAAAACAGATTCCACATGAAGAGATATTAAAAGAAAAAAATGTATGAAAAACAGAAATCAAAAAAATGCATACTATATTTAGGTCTTGAAAGGGCCAAACAACTGCCAACAACTTGTGCAATTTGTCTAAATCGATTTCAATAGAGGGCTGATGGAAAACCAGTGCTATGGAAACCAGCGACCGAATTTTCCAAGAGCAAGCGATCGCGAAAGAGAGCGCGAGCAAGAAGAAAAACAAGTTAGAGTCAATGTTCGTTGGCCTATAACCGGTTTTTGGTAGTGGTAGTTGGCCCACATACTGGGCTGAATGGAACCTCCTCACCCACGCCCCTCAGGTAGTCGCAAAGGCAAATAGCAAATGACCAAGTGTCAAGCATCGGCTATTGAAGCCGTCAACATATTCGGGCAGCAAAAACGCGCGAGAATTCCGAAAATTCTGGGGCTCAACCCAAAAATTCAAGATTCATATAGGAGTGAGAGGGGTCTGAAAATAAATTAAATATTTAATGTGCCCCTGGGTCTTTGGAAACGGGGAACATGGCGTGTCCAAGTGGGAGTCGCGTGCCCGGAGGACAAGCCATAAATCTGGTAATCTGGCAAGGGAGTTGGGATTCGGGAGTTGGCCAAAAGGAGCAACGACAAGACACTTGTGTCAACTATTTGTTTGCGTAATTTGCTTATCTTTGTGCTACTATCCATTTTAATTGCACGAACTAAGATTAATCTCCGTGTGCTGGAGACCTAATTATTTTAAGCGCGTTTGTTAAACGCGTGCAAAACGCACTCGGCTCATTTAAATCACTCAGGTGATGCAAACGGCTGCCACCTGCTAATTTGATTGCTTAGCCAACGAAACGCAATTTGGCCACAAAAAAAGATTTGATTTTAGCCTAGAACTTTGAACCTTTCATAGGGTTCGCCACACTGAGAAAAATTTGATAGCAAATAGATGTTGTTGAAAAATATTGTGTCAATCGAAAAACATTGATTATAAAACTTGAGTTTTTTCAAAATCTATTCATACTTTATAAAGACAATAAATCCAAGAACACCATTAAAATAAAATAAATCTAATAGTCTAATAATCTAAAAATCATTATTTACAAATCAAAAGTCTGCCCCTTTTATAAAATCTTCTATATAAAAAACAAATCAATTTTAAAATTATAAATAAAGTATTATAGTATTTTTCTGTGTGTTATTCTCCTACAGGGCAAATACAAAAAAAGTCGCACGCTGCGTGGAAATGGAGACCGAAAAATGTAAGAAAACAAGCCAAACCAAGTTCGTTCCCAAAACTGATTAATGTAGCCACCTCAAGTTTCCAGCCGATTTCATTCATATGCAAAATGTCGTATGACATTTAACAATTTAATACTATATTAATTCGCTGAGCTCATCACGAAGTCAAAAAAACGTTATTTGTTTGTTATACAACAATTATAGATGTCCGCCGAACAGGTTCCCCAAGCAATTTCCATCTACATATCTGTGACTGAGAATTACGAAAATAAACACGAACCGCAGGTGTAACTGGGAGATATCTAAGAATGATAGATAGAATGCAGTCTAATGGTTGAATTAAATACTAGATAATTGCCCCTGCCAAAATGATCGCGAGAATTTCTTGGCACAATTCATGTGATTTTTATTCAAACGACGACAGTTAGTGGTACAAAAAATTGTGCGGACGAATTATGCTATTATTTGAATTTAGCATAATTTGGTAAGACGCACAGACACACGCACCTATTTGTCTAATTTTAATGCACTGGGTAAGAGTTTGAAGTTGGGAAGTTTTTTTAACCGATTAGGCGATTTTAGCCGCTCACGACGACGCGACCGCTGAACGTTCGAAATGGAACTGAAAACCGCGTCGGAATCGCGCTTCCAAGTTGATGATTCTCTCCCCGTTATTCTCTCTCGCTTTCTCTCGGTTCTCTTTCTCTGGGAAATTAAGGCGATAAGAGATTACTATATGTAAACAATTTCCGTGGGTTTTCACCTAATCTCAGGTGAGAAGATGATAACAACCGAAGAAACCTAAAAAAAATTATACAGTAAATATGTATGCATAAACTGAAAAACATCATATTCTAATTTAAACTAACAGTCGCATGTAAAATAAAAAATTTGTTTATTGATAAAAGTATTTGTATTTCATTACACCTTATTCTTCCTTAATGTATATTTTAATTTATTTTATATTGTCCAATTAGTTTATTTATAAAGAGAATTATTTTTTTATGTTTAGATTCACAGTAAAACTTATCTAATTTCCCTAAGTGGAAATGTATGTAAAACGTACGCATTAGCGTTTTGCTAAAAGAATTGGAACACAATTTTCACCACGTTATTTTTATTTCATATTTAGCAACATGAAATTTCCATAACTTATACAACTAAACAGTAGAATTTTACAAACGATTTTTATGTTTACTTTAAAAGTTCGTTATGGCTCGGGTATACTAACAATAGATGGCCATCAAAGTCCACCTCCACTGGGACAGACGTTCAAGTTTACTGCCCAGCTGCACTAATCACATTTGCCTGATAACAACGAGCACTACAAGGAACTAGTGATCCTTAGTATAGATTCGCTTCAAATATAATCAATACGTAATTTGCGCAGAACTTAAGCTATATGGTTCTTGTTCGAAGCTTTTAATGATAACAAGATGACATTTTCAAGTGCTGTCGATCAATTATTACCACTTAAACGAAGGTGTACGGCGTGATGACGCCATTTAAGGATTATTTGCGTCACATAGCTGGGGCTTAAAAAAATTGTTGAAACTTTAAAGAAACCCCTCACAATCTTTTAATGAGTGCTTAATTATCACCTACTCAAGAGACCTTAGGTTAAGTCACTAGTACTTCATATAATTGGACAGAGCAAAACGTATTTTTCAAATCTTTAAAAGATTACAATACTGGTAACTGAAACAAAAGTAATTTAAAAATTTTGGGTTACAGTCGCCAATTTTTCCCGTACATTTTTAAATAGTATTAATAATTATAGTAACTTAACTTTGTTTGTTAGCGACCTTTCGTTTTTACGATCGGAAAAAAATGTATAAGCTTTTGTTTTGAATTTTTAGATCCAAACCGAGCCGGAAAAACATTAATATAATAATTTAAATTTATTAATTTTAATTCTTCAAAAGTTGATATATTATCGATGGCTCCTGAAAAAACATCGATATGTCAAAGTTTCTGGCAGCTCCCTGGCATCGAAAGGTCATCGATTTTTGTTCCAGCTCTAACATACAACAGCAACACTTTCGGAGATAGTTCTGGAATTTCGTAGTTTTAATTAATAATAAAAGCAAAACTTAGCTAAGCAAAGCAGCCAATGTGAGTCCCCTCAAAGTGGCCAGTCTATGAAGCGATCGGTTCGGCAGAGTTCACTCATTATTTTCGATTTTTTCCGCCTCCCCCCAACGTTGCGCTAAAATCTACGAAAAAGATGTCGGACTGGGACTCTGTGACTGTTCTGCGGAAAAAGGCACCGAAATCATCAACCCTGAAGACAGAATCAGCAGTTAATCAGGCGCGTCGCCAAGGAGTCACCGTGGACACCCAACAGAAATGTGAGCGGCGTTTCCTTTGGCCTCCAACCCCAAAAGTGACCCCCCTTGCGACCACACCACTGTCTAACCTAGAAGCACTCCTGCTGCATTGCGTGGCATTTGTTTTGTTATTTGTGTCATCGCTCTGCTGATTTCACATGTGCATGCTAACCTTTCACCAGACGCTTGTAAATTCCCTATAATAATACCCTATTTCTACTCCCGTTTAGATGGTGCTGGCACCAACAAGCAGCATGTGACCACAAAGAACACTGCCAAACTCGACCGCGAAACTGAGGAGCTGCGCCACGATAAAATTCCACTCGATGTGGGCAAGCTTATCCAGCAAGGACGTCAGGGCAAGGGTCTTAGTCAGAAGGACCTGGCCACTGTAGGTTTTCATCTCCCTCCAAAAAAAAAACAAAAGAGGCTTAGCTTATTTGTAATTTCCCCGTTGAGATTTCATGTCAGTTCAAACATAACTAAGCTATAATTTTTTGAAACTAATAAGGATGTTAAGGACTTTTGTTCTGTAGATTTAAAAACCAAAACTCAAAGTTGATTCCTATAAGAAAAAATGTCTTGCTTAACTAGAGCTTAGCTTGAGGTTCGCCAAATTAGAGCATAGATTTTTACCGCTTTTAAATATATTGAATTGCAATTACGTTTTCTTTCTGCTAAAACTATGATTATGAGAAGCTCTCTTTTTTAACAAAGGCGACAAACTTCTAATTCATATTCAACTTTACCAACTTAAAAACAACAGGATTTGGTTGAAATGCTTTTTCTAAAAAAAGGCTCTTTGCTTACATTGTTTTTTAATTTTACTAAACTCGAGCTTTATTCCTCCTAGAAAATCTGCGAGAAGCAGCAAGTAGTGACCGATTACGAGGCTGGACGCGGCATTCCCAATAACTTAATCCTGGGCAAGATGGAGCGCGTTCTGGGCATGAAGCTGCGCGGCAAGGAGCGCGGCCAACCAATAGCGCCTCCCGGTAAAAAGTGAGACGATGCTGCCGCGTCTGCCGCCAGTGGTGCTCCACACACGACCACCTCGGCACGCAGCGCCCGGCAACAGAACCATCAACACCCGGATTCTGGAGGCTGGAGCACGGTGGGCGGCAGACGCAAATGAAGCATTATCGGGAGGCTGGCGAACCAAATCAAATCGGGTCATCCAGCAGCAGCTGCAGTCGCAGCAACCCAGAAACATAGAAACCGAAGATCCAACTAATTACCACTATGAGCGCCAATTTTCGCAATTGTTTGTTCCAAGCCAAGAAGTCAGCGGGACTCGCAGCGCTTGCCACTTGTCAATCTTTTTACCGATAAATTAACCATTGTAATTACCCAAAATACATACACCCACACAAAATGCACACAACCCGGATGCGGAAACCAAGACGGACGTGAAACGCAACAGACTTATCTGATATTAACGCGCTCATAGCTTGGACAAGTGTTATTCGTTCATTTTGGCATTAGAGTTTGTTTTGAAACTTGATCTAAGTTATGGAATTAAAACCAAGACATGAAAAGCATGGAAAAACACTCGAATTTCTTTCAATCTTATCATCCAATCAGCCATACTCAAAATTTGCATGAAACACTCATTACCATCCAGCTAATACCATTGAGCACACACATTAAATGATATATGCAAATTCTTAGAGCTTAGTCGGACTTTTCCTCTTTTTGTAATTTATTGTGTAAGGGCCATAAACTGTGCGTTTACTAATGCATTATACATATTATACAAGAAACATATGCTAAATGTATTTAGAAACATTTTCTAGTCTACAAAATATTTAAATATTTAAGCGATGGCAATTTCTCGATGTTTATTTGTTTCCCACTGCCCAGTCCTATTCCTCCGCAGCTACAGATTGCATATTGGAGATCCCATATATGTGTAGAAAAAAAGACTTCTTATTGCACGTGATTAACTCGTAATTATTGAATAAATGTTTTCGGCCATCTAAACAACATATTAATGGTAATTTAAGGCAGTTTTAATGGGATGTCAAAATTTATATGTCCTAAGGAGTTTGGTTCAAAATAACTAACCACTTTTGATTCATTCTGATTACTTCGGAAAGTTTTTTGTTAATACAAGAGATTGCTGAAAATTATTGACATTTTAATTATTATCAATTAAATTTTCACATAATATTCAAAGGGACGAAATAACGAAAGAGATGGATCAAAATAATAAATACACAAAACTATAAAAAAAATATAAACGATTACATTAACTTATAGAACTGAAAATTTTAATTGCACAAAAACGCAACTAATAATGTGATTTATGAAAATCATGTTCATTAATTTCAGTACTCATATTTTATTTAAATACTAGGAACTTTAATGAACTTCTTTGGCTTTTCAGTGCCCTTAGACTGGTAGCAACAGTAATTCAAATAGTTTTTTTATCAATGAGGTACGGCCTGAAATGGTCAATGGACCCTTTACATCTCTAAGATGAAGAAAACAACAACTTTCAATTAAAATAAATTCTTAAGCGAATGCTAAATCAGGGATCTCATTGTCTTCGTTCTTTTGGATAAACAACTTCATAGCTCGCTCAAAGTCCCACTCGGCTTCTTCAACAATTGATGTGCACCAGGTGGAAATGAGACCGGTTACCTCTTGGAAGAGAATAAGCTTGTGGTCCTTTACATCCAGGGAGTCCTCTTCCAACGTACATTCACGTTCACTTGGGTTCGGATAATTCACACTGAATGCGTTTCTGATCATATTGTTCGAGGGTTTCATAATGTTAAGACGTTCGTTTGTAATCTTCAGTCTGCGAGCTCTTTTACCCAAGCCCTAAAAAGTAGTAAAATAAAAATAAGTATACAATTCCTATCATAATTGGTCACGGATTCCTTCATAGGTCTTAAAATTACTTTAAATTTACTTTTCCACAAACCATTAGCTACATTTTATTATTATTCAACGACCTCTACATTTAATGGTAGGTCAATTTTTTTATAAAGATAAAAATAGTTGCCTCATTTTATTATTAATTTATAGAGTAACCCACTTACCAGGCCATCTCCATCAAACTTGATTACGAACTGCCGGCTAAAGCCCAGCAAGACATCACCGATGGGTCGGGAACCACCAGATGCCTCGTCACGGAGCAGACCGGTAACATAGATTATCGCCGTTTGACCATCATAGTGCATTACGTCCGTCTGCAGGGAAGCGAAGTCGTGGCTGACCCTTGGCAGTTGAAACAGTACATCAGCGATCTCTGAAGAACCCACATACACGCCATTAGAAGCATTCGAGGAGTCCTTTCTGTGCAAATTTCGTGCATGCTTGCTGTATGCTGATAGCCGACGCATTAATTGACCAGTTTGGTGATTCTGCACCATGTTATGGCTGTAATTGCATGTCAAGGTAAAAAGCGAATCGGCGGAGTAGTACTTGATCAGATTACAACGGTCCTCCTCACGCTCAAATTCCAACAAATAGTTTTTGAGGAAGACTTCGCCCACCAACTCGTAGGCGCCTGTGTCGCAAAGGAAGTTCTTTTGCGGCGATTGGCCGGGATTTGTCTGCAGATCGACGCCATCCAAGGTGGTCAGCTGAGGGAACAGCTCCGTGACTGCCCGGACATACTCGCTGGGTAGGCTGTAATTGCGGCAGAGGGGATTCCCGTGGAGTACCAAGGATTTAAGGGGTAGCTCACCCAGAGACGTTATCATTGGCAGCTCATGCACCCAGTTATGGCTTAGATCAACAGCGCGCAGATTGCCCATCCGCCGCAGGACATGGGCTCCCTCCACGTTTAAGATCTTATTGCGGCACAAGCGAATTTCCGAGCAGGTGGCCATAAAAAGCCGCGACGCAACCGACAGTATATGGTTCAAAACCTTTGGCAAGCTTAGTGGCACCACCACATTCTGCAGATTCTCGTTGGACTGGAACCGATCAAGGTTGAGTAGACGGTTTTGGGGCACATAACAACTCTGGACAGCCTTTTGTATACACTGCTCTGGATCGACATGATGCTGTTTGAAAGTGCTCACGTTCATGCGCAGGTAGTATCTGAACATTCGCCCCTCATTATGGTTAATTCCCGGCGGAATCCACATTTCCAGGTTATATTTCTTCACCAGGTTTGCTATCTGATCGAAGCAATTGCGTACGAGGAAAACGTGGTCTGTTTTAATGTACTAGATAGATGAAATAAAAGTTTTAGCCAAGATCTTTTGGAAATACGGCATAATTACTTTGTAGTAGCAGGGATAGAACTCGCTCAACTCCGGTTCCAGGCCAATGAAGAAAAAGTTAAAGAACATATCCTGGCTGAATTCGTGAACCGGATCGGGAACCTTTTAAGAATTATACACACACATATGGAACTAAGTTTAACGATATAACGCTCGGGGAATAAACAAGCAGATGGGCAATTTCCGGCTTGAGTTTCACACCACGTGTTAAAAATTGGGAATTTCTGGAAAATTCCCTGTTGAACCCACCATAAAGGCATGCCAGTCTTGACTATTTTCATACTCAGACACCTTCCAAGTGTTATTCGCGTCGAGTCGTGATCCATCCGTCTCCAAATCGATGTCCCCATCCAGCGGAGAATAGGCCTTGTACAGCATGTCAAAGGGCACACCATTCTGATGGAATGTTTGTTATCTATTACATGAAAACATTCGGTCGGGAACATTGTATTGCTTTACACTTACCACAACCTTGAAGTTCCTTCCTAGCGACTTGATGTTCCCCGGAAATTGGTGACTCCTTGCAATGGGATTTTTGTCCAGTCGCAATTCTCTGGCCCGGAATTGTTCAAGGGCGCGACACAAGCGATCGGCTGACTTGATCTAGACACAAACATTACCCAAGGGTTTAAAAATTAGAAGACAACTCACCTTGTTGCCACTCAAGTCTAGCAACGCATAGTCCACATTAGCGAATAGAGTCAGCGGTCTTACATTGCGGATGTGGTTGTTGGACAATATGAACCCGTTCACACGAAAGCTTTCGCTGTCGTTCCTTATTACCTGGCACACATTCATCAGAATGCTCGGATTGCCCAGGCTCACAACAATATTTCGGAACTCCGGATGGTCCCCAAAGTTATCCAGGTTGAGCAGTCCATCCACGCCGTCCTTCTGCACCAGACGAGTTATCAGCTGGGTGACCACCCGGGCGATCAGAAATGGCGGCGATATTTGGTTGACACGGTACTCAGCCACACCTAGCTGGACGCTGATAGGGATGGACGCACCACTGTCCAGGCTGATAGTGAGATTCAGATTAAAGAGATTGTCGATAGCCGCCTTGCAGTTGCGGGCCAGTAAAGTATCCGCCTTGCTACCGCACTGAAAATACGGAAAGACCAATACTTATAAAAACCCATGTGTGGCGTGTGTGTGATACAGGGAACCCACCTGGTAGCACACCGGATAGAACTCTGCGCCATCCACCGCCTGGTACAGACCCTCCATGATCATCTGCTGCGGATTCTCCAAATAGTTAAGCTGACCGCGATGGTGCACTGTGATCTCGTTCCAGTTGCGACCCAGTACCCGGTCGCCGTAGCTGGAGCAGTTGCTGAAGACCCGCGAGTCCGGATAGTCCAAATGGATGGGCAGGGACCCATCGCCAAAGTTCAGTACTCTAATCTGAGCTGGCATTGCAAACAAAAGCTTGTTTAATCAAAAGACCTTGCACTTATATTTCAAATCTTACGCCTGTTCATAGTTGACGGGTGACAGTGCTGCAAAACGTCGGTGTTAGTTTTTAAAGTTTATCCCAGATCCGTTTGTTAGCTTCAGCAAAACGAATTATGAATATCCTTGTAGTTATAACACAAATTGACCATATCGTTTTAATAAAAGTTGTTTGATATAATCTTAAACCGACGTTTAAGCAATTATAATCCTATATTAATTCGGATCAAAGATTTATTTAATATGGCCGCCGTATGTTACAAAATTACCGTCTAAAAGGGTATACAAATTTCGTTCGAAATCCACTCAAAAATTCGACCGCTCGCTGTGCCAGTCGTCGGAAAACTGACTTCATAAGTGGCCAGACGTTAAACGAACCAAAATTTCTGCCTGTGTCGGCATTTTTTTTATTGAACTGAAACAAGAACCCGCCATCATAAAAATTAGTCATAAACATAACAGTTTTTAATCGTTTCGTTCTTAATGGCTACAAGTCTTAAGGAAAGATGTGGAGATGAGATGAATTACTTCTTGGGCGTTTTTTTCTTGGCGCTGGTATTGGCCTCCTTTTTTCCCTGGTAGAGACCCGTATAATATCCGGACATGTACCAGGCCGTGAGCATGGCCACGAAGTCTTGCTCGCCGCTGTCACCCTGACCGGCGATCATGGGCGGCACGGGGGGCATGGGGGGCATGACCAATCCTCCGGAGATCCGTCCCTTTCCGGATGTCTTCTTGGAGTGGCAAGAAGTGCCGGCGACCGCGGATGTCTTGGAGCGGTTCGGCTGCTCCCCATCCTCCTTCTTGGCGACGAGGAACTGCTCGCGACGCACTCTCTTGCCCCAGGATGGCAGCAAGTCCAGGAGCAGAACCTCCTGCTCGTTCTCATAGCCCAAATAGCGGATGACGCAGGTGCCCTTACCTTCGTTGATAGACACCAAGGCACCCTCGTAGTCAAGGCCATCAACATAGGTAGCACGGGCGTAGTCGCCCACCTTGAAGGACAGCGGCTCAGGGCTAGTGGCTCCGCCAGTGGCCGAATCCTCTCCAGCTTCGTCAACGGCAGCGTTCTCCACCTCACGCTTGTTGGTGGAATCGGCCAGGCGGAGGGCCAGTGCTTCTCGGGCCAGGCCCACGGACTCGTCGTACGTCTTTACCAATAGGGAGTCATCCCACACAGCGGTGTTAGCATCGTCGGACATTTCGAAAAGAAAAATCAAACCTCGGTTTCGGCGTTTGGTGAATTCTCACTGTGTTAGACAACTCGGGAAAAGCACATGCACTTTAAAGCACTGGCTAAAATACAACTATCGCTTTGTGGTGGTTAAAATGGTTTTGCACTGCCAATAAGTTTTGAGATAAATTATATTAGGGTATATTCTCTAAGCCACTCAATATAAAATTCAATTTCGGTCAGCTTTTTGTCACCTGTTCCATAAAATGTTTACTTTTAATAATTTTAACAATCGTTGAAAACCCAACTTGCGTCTTTGTAATTTCGAAAAGCCCCGACCTTAGATTTAGTATTTTCACGATATATGTTTATTGGGGCCTTGATTACGAATAAATGGCCGGTAGTTAAAACAGTTTACCAACCTTTAAACGTGAGTTTCCTATCTGTTTTTATTTACTAAGCCAACTCAATTAAGTAACTGACTAATATGACAGCACATACTATTTATAATGAAATCTAAAAAAAAATTTACGGAGTAACAGTAATTAAGAACAAAAACATTATAATAAAACTTGTTCTTAGGCTTACAAATAATTACAAATACTCGTTTAAGGAATACCTCATGCATATTTCTAGTATATTTTAAAAATGAATATTGTTTGAACAGTATATTCTTAAAAGTATTTTTTATTATGTAGTATATTTATAGATAATTGCCATCTCTAGAAAAAAGCGAAAATCATCTTGGTCCGAACGAAACCATTCTACAAAACAAGCGAATAAAGATGGCCACTGTGGAAGCCTTGTACAAGGAATTGACCGCCGAATGGGCAAAGCGACCCCCGAACACCGCCAGATGCAGCCAGCTGCTGGATCAACTAAAAGTAGCCTTGGTGAAGATGGCCTTCCTGCCCACGGACGGAAACGACGCACAGAGCTCGAAGAAGCAACTGCTGCTGGCCAGGAGCGTGCTCGAGGTGGCCGTGGAGCACAGCGTGCTCAGTAAGGACCTGCTCGCCTTTGAGCGCTACATGGCGCAGCTTAAGTGCTACTACTATGACTACGCCAAGATCATCGGCGAGTCGGAGAGCAAGTACAAGCTACTGGGCCTCAATCTGCTCTACCTGCTGTCCGGGAACCGGGTGTCCGATTTCCACACGGAGCTGGAGCTGCTCTCCGTCGATGTCATCCAGCACAACCAGTTCATCCGGCCTATTCTAGCTCTGGAGCAGTACATTATGGAGGGACGCTACAACAAGATATTCCAGGCCAAGTCGACAGTGCCCGCCGAGGTCTACAGCTATTTCATGGAACTGCTGGTTGAGACAGTGCGCGACGAGATCGCCGCCTGCATCGAGAAGTCCTACGATAAGATCTCCGCCAAGGATGCGGCCAAGCGGCTTAACCTGCGCGTTCCCGACGAGATTAAGGCTTTCGGTGAGAAGCGCCAGTGGAAGCTGGAGGCCAGTGGGGACTACAGCTTTACGGATCGCAGCATCAAGCCCAAGGAGATTTTGCCCTCCGAGGAACTGGCCGAACAAGTTCTCAGCTACGCCCGCGACCTCGAGATGATAGTCTAAGTCTAAAACAACTTCAGCCTTTAATATTTGGTTAAGATACACCAGAGTAAAGTTAATAAATATAGTGCTTTGTCCCGAAACGTTGTAGTATTTTTTTTATAAATGTTGTGTACCAAAAGACCTATATTTTTGTCTTAGAAAAAACGCAAAAAATGCTTGGTATTATTTAAAAAAAATTAACTACTTTGTGTGTTATATTTTACATTGCACTGCAAAAACTGTTTATTTCTATTGAAGTTAATAAAATTTAATTTTTTCTTGTTCACGATCACCAAATTTAGAAAATCCCGTGATTTGACAAATGTTACTGCAGTGACTCAGTGTGACCGTTTTCGGTTCTAATGTATTGGGAATTTGTGAAACTCTGTGCGACGGTCACACCAGCGCGAACGACAGCGGAGACAAAAATTTTCGCTTTGCGATTATTTGTAAAACATTGCTTAAAAAGCAAATAGAAGAAATTATAGCATAATCCACGCCATGGCCTGCAACGCTAGCAAGACGTCGCTCCTGCGCGCCATCGCCGTAAGTCTCGACTTAACCAACAAAAGTTACGGCAGCAAATCTCCCAGCGGAGGCTCGCTCGTGTTACGTAAAACACCTGAAGTTGCCATCTAAACAATGTCGAATATAATAAGAATTATGACGATCCTGTCCTGTTTTCCGGCAGAAACGAGGCTACGCCACCTGTCCCCGTCCCGTGGGCGACCTGTCCGCCGTGAATGTCAAAGTGCTGGACAACAAGCTGGTGGTGGCCACTGCCGATGCCACTCTCCCCGTTTCGCGCGTCTCCCTAGTGCTGGGGTATGTTTTTGTGGTAGTACCCTATCACCAGGAGTACCTTAATCCCTCCATTACAGTGCCGGATCTCGCAACGAAGCCTACGACACCCAAGGCGCTTCGCATTTGCTGCGTTTGGCTGGAGGATTGAGCACACAGAACTCTTCTGCCTTCGCCATCGCCCGCAACATTCAGCAGGTAGGCGGAACCCTGACCACATGGGGTGACCGCGAGGTGGTCGGCTACACGGTGACCACCACTGCTGACAACGCCGAGACTGGACTGCGCTATCTGCAGGACCTGCTGCAGCCTGCCTTCAAGCCCTGGGAGCTGACCGACAACGCCAAGACGGTGGTCAACCAATTAAACGCCGTCTCCACGGAGGTGAGTCCACATTCCAAAAGCTTGGGAGTAATCTGCTTTAAAATAATTTACGTATTATATTTTCGTAATTCGTATTAATATTAATTATAAGAGTTCTTTTTTTATCTTGATTTATAGTAACACTCAATTCTTTGCAGCAACGCGCCATTGAGCTGGTGCACAAGGCCGCCTTCCGCAACGGCCTGGGAAACTCGATCTACTCGCCCCGCTTCCAGTTGGGCAAGCTGTCCTCCGAGAGCCTGCTCCATTACGTAGCTCAGACCTTTGCCGCCGGCCGTGCCGCCGTCGTGGGTGTGGGCATCGACAACAACACTCTGGCTGGCTTCGCCCAGACTCTGCAATTCCCCAGCGGAGGTGGTAAGGCTGCCTCGGCCAACTGGTACGGCGGAGATGCCCGCAAGGACACAACCGGACACCGTGCCGTCGTGGCCGTTGCTGGACAAGGAGGCGCCGCTTCGAACCACAAGGAGGCGCTGGCATTCGCCATCCTGGAGCAGGCTGTTGGTGCCAAGGCGGCAACCAAGCGCGGCACCTCGGCGGGACTCTTCGGAGAGGCCGTAAACTGCGCCGGCGGCGCCGGAGCCTCTGTCAAGTCTCTGAACGCCAGCTATTCCGACGCCGGCCTGTTCGGCTTTGTGGTATCTGCCGATGCCAAGGACATTGGCAAGACCGTGGAGTTCCTGGTGCGAGGCCTGAAGTCCGCTTCGGTGTCCGAGAAGGATGTGGCTCGTGGCAAGGCCCTGCTGAAGGCGCGCATCATCTCGCGGTACTCGTCGGACGGCGGTTTGATCAAGGAGATCGGTCGGCAGGCGGCGCTCACCCGGAATGTGCTGGAAGCGGATGCTCTGCTCAGCGCCATCGATGGCATCTCGCAGTCGCAGGTCCAGGAGGCGGCCAAGAAGGTGGGCAGCTCCAAACTAGCCGTCGGCGCCATCGGTCACCTGGCCGGCGTGCCCTACGCCTCCGATTTGGCTTAAGTAGTTAAACACCTGTACATCTGTTAACCGTATTGTAACGACTAAATAAACCTATTGAAGGAAACGATCCGCGAACGTAAATACTTATAAATACTACTTTAATTGGTGTATAAATAATCAAACTTTTGGTAAACGACAGACATTCCACAAGGGTCACAGTATAAAGCAATGACGTTTAACAACTGGAATGAAATGTGGCCACTAGACAAAAACCACCACGATAATAGCTACGAACAAGGCGATAATAACCAGCCAGTAACCCCAGGTGCTGTCCCGCCTGTTAACTTGTCCAATACTCTGAGTTTCCCGTTGCACGCCCGTCTCCACGCGGTCCATAGCATTGGCCAAGTTGTCCAGGATGTCTGGAAAGTAAAAAGGGTCGAGCAATGGCTAAGCGGGGATTGGGGCATACCCACTGTTCTGATCCTCCACCTCGTTACCCAGTTGTGTGGCGAGTTGGCGCTGCCTAGACAATGTGGCTGATAAAACCTCGAGTCCTTGGTTTTGTTGCTCCAACATCTCGATTTTTCGCTGCTTTAGGGTTTCCACGTCCAAGGCAGTATCTCGCGAAGAACTGCCTTGACCCGAGACGAGGTCCTGATCCTGCCAAGCGGATCCGGAGGCGGTGGTCACGTCTTTGGATCGCGAGCTCTTTGTGAACTTCTCGCGGATCTCTCGCAGCTGCGAGGTGAGTCGGTCCCAGTCGATGCGCCGCTGCTGCAGCTCTTCCTCCGGGCTCGTCTCCCAGGTGATGGCGTTGTCCAGCACGACCTTCAGGTGCTTCATATCTTTCGACAACTGCTCCAGCCCGGACTCAATACTGGCCGTCAGTCGGTCGTACTCGCTCGCCCTCGAATTTAGCTGCTGGCGCTGGTTAAGGTGCACCAGCAGCTGATGGCGCAAGCGCTCGCATCCCTCGTACTCGATGTCCCAGGAGTCGTGATCCACCAGCGCCATTTGTCCGGATCAGCTATGAGTAATGTAGTTATCAACAAAAAACTACGCCTCTAAGGAAGCCACACAACAAAAACATTAACAGAGCAACAGCTGATTGCTGCGGGCAATTTGAGTGGCAAAGAAGTGGGCAAGTGTACGGTCACACTTATCCTTTTGTGCGTTTAATTATTTTGAAATCTCCCAATCCACTAAGCCAGTAAAAATAATAACGGTAACAACAAATTATAAAAATACAAATCTAAAGAAGCCCACGCTTGTGCCCCTAAATTAAATTTACTTCGATAGCAAAATCATAAAATCAAAATCAATTTAATTTTATGCCGTGAACGGGAATACCCCCTAAACAAAATTGGATCTTTTTCAAAAGTCTAACCTGGTCTCTTCGAAAGTCGTCAATACGATGTACGATTATATATATATTCAGAAATTACAACAAAATTAAGAAATGTTTTCCAAATTACTTCCTGCTGTCTTTCTATACACTGGCCGCCGAACGTATTCGATTTTCTCAAAAGTCTACTCTATCCCCGCTAGTAACAAGACTCTCGCTCATCACTGGCTAAAGGCTCCAAAGGTTTATTCACAGGAAAGATGTCTTGGAACGCACATTGTTATTCGGCACACTAGAGAAAGATTCTTCATCGACATTGCCGGAGTTCGAGCGGAGCTACAGTATTCCATTAAAGATGGTATAATGACAATTCAAAGTACCAAAGTTCCGAAGGAGCTGGGGGGACAAGGCATCGGAAAGCTGTTGGCGAAAGCGGCGCTGGATTACGCATTGTTAAATGGTCAATTCATAGTAATTAAGTGCAAATTTGTCCAGCACTATATTGACAAATATGAACCACAATACGCGAAGTACATATTGTCCTAAAAAAACACATATTTCAACATTGTCAAAATTTTTAAATTAAAGAGAAAATATTAGATAATTCTTTTTATTATAATTTAGTCAATGATAATATAGCATTTATATTTAATACAAGGTAAGTTTAAACTATTTCAATATCAGAACCATATACGCATTTCAAAAAAGTCGTAAATATGTAATCAGAATTCGTACTAAAAAATTTGTTTCTATTTTCGTTCTTAAGTTACTTAAAAAGGCGGTTTGAGACCGTTACCAGGCCAGTTAATATTGATTATTAACGACTTTTTAAACGGGACACGGACACTATTGTACTCCGCAACTAGCTGGAGCTCTGGGATAATCTTGGACTCAGACTTCTTAAGCGTTGGCGTCGTTTTTGAACCATCCTCTCACGACTCCACCAGAACAATTGATCACTTATACAACAGACAAAATGAAAATTATAAATTCTGTTTGATTATATTGTATATGTCCAGAATTCTTTGAACAACCACCCATTTATTTAACCATCAATTTAATTAAACATTTAAGTTGTAGACAAGGCTTAAATAAAAATATACCAGACAACTTTTTGAATATACCAGCTCGTTCTTTTTTATGAATGTGACCAGCCCTTAATCTGCAAGGGGCCTTGCCAGACTGCACCCACGCACTCCGATACGATACTTGTGACTAGAATGCTTCACCAATAGTCACAGTATTGAAAAAGACACAATACACCCACACACGCACTTACTGCGTTACGATAGGTGTGATTTTACACATGAAAAAACAGTTACTATTGTGGATAAGTGGTGAAGCCAAATAAAAATGTATTCGTATTCCGTATACTAAAGCTACACAATGCCAATGGGCTTTCACTTAATTCATAGAAATATATTCGGACCGGTATTTTAGCCCGGCGAATATTAGATCTTGACTCATAACACCTCGAACTTGCAATAAAATGACAATAAATTAGTACAAAATTCACTGATATTTATACTATGCTATCCAGTTATATTAATTAAACCGCGAGTGCTCGTGACAGTCCGCCAAAGCCGTGACTGGTGACTGAGAAATGCTCGCTGACAAGTAACAGGTACGCAACTATCGCCCATCCCTAACTCACACGTACACACAATTTAGTCGTGATTTCTATTTTATTTGTTTCAAATTACGACAAAAAACGAAACAAATCGCGACCGAAAACCGCTGGCCACAATGCCGAGTGCCTGTTTAACCGTCCGCGAGCATTCGAATTAAGCGGAAGCGAGTGCGGCCGCCGATTTCAGCGTTTTCCGCCCGGGAGTGGGAGATCGGAAAATCCGCAGCAGGGCAAGCCAGCAGTCCGCAATAAATAGGAATTAGGATATAGTAACATTACGGGAAGTTCCGCACTAAGTCGTAGGCCAGAATGGAACGGCGCGTGAAGCTGAAGACCATTAATCCGCACATCACGTGCAAGATTTGCGGGGGCTACTTCATCGATGCCACCACGGTGACGGAGTGTCTGCACACATGTAAGTTGGGTCAGCATTGAGCAGCACCTGCCCTATAACGCAAGTGTTTCTTCTATTTCAGTCTGCAAGAGCTGCCTGGTGAAGCACCTGGAGGAGAAGAAGACCTGCCCCACCTGCGACAACATAATCCACCAGTCCCATCCCCTGCAATACATCAGCTTCGATCGCACCATGCAGGACATTGTGTACAAACTGGTGCCGAAACTGCAAGAAGGTTGGTCCTTGGTCCAGTAGGCCAGCCAATCAATTCCCCCACCCATTCTAAGCCCACCTTGTACCTTTCCAGATGAATCGCGCCGGGAGCGGGACTTCTACAAGAGCAGGAACATGCCGTGCCCCAAGGACATCACGCAAAACCACGAGGACGACAACGAGAAGGTGATGGACGCCCACGCCGAGTCCGACTTCCATCGCCTGGACGAGCAGGTGAACGTGTGCCTGGAATGCATCAGCAATAACTTCAAGAACCTGCAGAGGCGCTTCATCCGATGCAGTTCGCAGGCGACGATAACGCACCTTAAAAAGCTGGTGGCCAAGAAGATCCTCAATGGCATTGAAAAGTACCGAGAGGTGGGCTCCATACCTAAAATTTCTATATTTCGGTTTTCGCTTTTGAATCCATTTTATTTCCATTTTCTACATTACTTAGTTACCTGGTCCAAACATAAGTAAATGATAAAAAAATAATATTTCAAAAGTGAAATACCGAACGTTCACTGTACTGTACTAAAAACATATCCGTACTTTTCTCGCAGATCGACATTTTGTGCAACGAGGAGCTGCTCGGCAAGGATCACACGCTAAAGTTCGTCTACGTGACGCGCTGGCGCTTTCGGGATCCTCCGCTTCGGCTCCAGTTTCGACCACGGGTCGAGCTCTAACCACTGTTTTAGTATAATGCCACAACAAATGATCTATTTTTATAATTTATTGACAAAGCGTAAATATCGTAATTAGGAGAGAGTCGCTAGTGTTAGTTCCCCAAACCATGTGTGTATGTGTAAATGTGCATGTATAAAGTCGTAATTATATGGTTATCCCTCCTAGGATTAAGTAACTTCCTCTCCTTAAATCGTGTGACCCTTTTGTTGCCGCCGTCTTCGATGCATTTGCTCATGATTTAATCAACTTTCTCCGTTTGCAATATTTTATGTTCTCCCCCTATAGTTTCAAATATATATATTTATTATTTTAATGTACAAAACACACGAATGTAAATAAATTTGTAATTATGTCGAATGGTATATGTTTAAGTTGGTGGTTGCCACGCCTTTCTGTAGCCGAATCTGGGCGCCCCCCTGAACGGAGGACCATGGCGATATCTGAAGGTGGCAGATGGAAAGGGCGGAGGGCATGGTGGCCTCTGGTATCCAAATCTTGGCGGCGGTGCCATGGCATATGTCCCATACATCCCCTAAAAAATATGTTGAAATAATGTACAGGTCATTTCACTTTGTTGCAGTTGCTTTGGCACTTTATAATGTCTAGCAGAGATTATTTCAGCAAACAATCTTTCAGTATTACCTAAAATGTAAACTCTTTAGTTTTAATGAAATTATATTTTCTATCGTTTTTAAATATATTTTTTCAATTAATTAACAATTTGTTTTCCAAATTATGTTTATGTTAAATTTTGAAAGCGTAAATTTTTATCTTTAAAAAATTTGGTTTTTTTTTTACATCTGAGAAGAAAACATTGGTTACGAATTAATCAAATAATTTTTGTATCAAATTTAACATATAAAAAGTTGTCTTTTTCTCTATATTTTTTCCAAACATGCCGTTGTTTTTAATAATGTTATTTTTTTAAATAATTTAAATAATTTTTTTTACTTTAAAATCGGCTTTAAGACAGACTGAAATGTCTTAAAACTTTGAAATCCATTTAGGGTTGATTAATTGTTCGGCCTGCAATCTCTGTTAGATCTTACAAAAAGTACAATTCACAAATCTACTAACGTAGAAATCCTGTGGTGGCACTTGCACATAGTAGTTGATAATCTTTGGCGGCGGATTGTACCGGTGTGGAGTTCTTTGGCGGTGTCTCCGTTCGCTGCTGCGGCTTCTGCTTCGGTTCCGACTCCTTGAGCGGTGGCGCTGCCTTCTGTGCCTGCTATCTCGCTCGGATGACTGGGATCTAGATCTGGAGCGGGTGCGTCTGGTGGATCTGGGGGATCTTTGATGCAGTCTCATTACTCGATCCCGTTCCCGTGTTTCGTCCGCAAAGTAGGGAACCTTGTGCTTCTCCCGTTTCCGCTCCCTTTCCCTTGACTGTTTATGGATTGCGCTTTCTCGCCGCGATCTTGATCGGGAACTGGACCCGTGAGAATCTACGTGTAAAGAGTAGGGTTAGTCAATCCTGCTTATCTGCGGTCCTTGGTGGTTCCTTTAAGTCCACATAATGCGCAGTTGGATGTCCAATCGTCCTATCGCATTTGTCAGCTCGCCCAGCATTTTTTTTTCATTTCACATTTCACATAATTTGGCACTAGAAAAAAAACAACAAAAAGAAAAAAATATTGTATGCACTTGGTCGATACTGATCAGATCTGGTATTCTATATACATGTCTAGTATGTATATAAACCTCGGCAGTGTTTTTAATGTCGAAGTATTCAAGTGTTTCTTTCCTTTGCTCTGACTATTTGCAGCTTTTCAATTGCTTCTGCTTTAGAAACAAGTAGATGCACAAGAAAACTTAGAAAACGTTTTAAAAGTTGAAGCTAGCAACAATTTTTTGAAGTTTGCAAATAAAAAACTTATTCATGGCAATGTGTTATGTTCTTCTCTAACACATTGCGCCGCTAGTGTTGTTTGCCGTGAAGATATTGTTATAAGTTGTTGTGCCACTTTTGTTATTTTCTAAAGCAGAAGCACAGTCAATAGCAAGTTAAATACAACTAAAGGCAGTTTTTCAAACACTGTACCTCGGTGCACGGCTCCACTGCTGTCTGCATCCATTTTCATCAGAAAAGAAAATGCAGGGAAATTATGCACTTTACGCTAGTGTGACCGCTTTTGGGCAACGCAAAATGTGCCCGCCCACTCACTTATCGATTAATTATCTTAATTCAAACGTTAGTATTTAAAAACAATTAAGCTTCAGTAAGCCGAATTTTATATACGCTGGCCGCTTTAATTTATTAGTCAATACGCTTTTGCGCCAATATGTACCCACATATTTGTTTTATATTGGTTCAATTTCCTTAATTCCAAAACAAATCTAAATTTTTTAAATTATTAAAAAGGTATTCACGCTAATTGTTACATAAAGCATAATTATAAAGTTGACCATATTTATGTCCTATCAGAACACGTTTGAAAACTAATAAACTTGAAAGGAAAACTAGCTTGTCTCACTCAGCTAAATTAAGATTTTATAATTGTTTTGAAATTGTTAAATTAAGGTATTTGTATTCAGAAATTATTTATAAACGCTTTATTTCTTAAAAACACAATACAACTCAATTTTTTCTTCATACATACACATAGGGCAAACGCAATTAGCAGGCACTGATAATATTCAAAACTTAAAGCTAAGTGGCACGTTGATGCGCTCGTTCTCCATTGAGACCACGATGAGCGGCTCTTTCTCTAGCAAATCGCGTCTGGGCGGTCGCAGCAAGCGCACATCGATCTCCGCCTGACCGCCATCTGGAGCCACATAGCACTCGCTAGGGTTTATACGCACCAGCTCTGGGATATTGCAGCTCACCTCGATGAGCTGCCTAGAGCGAAAGCTGTTCGTCACGGACAAAGTAGCCAGGGGAGATCCGCGGGCTCCGAATTCTAGCGAGGTGGGTTGCACTGACCAATTCCGCTCAACGGGCATTAAGGTAGTGGTGTCCGCCTCTAATAGTTCATCCACAGGCTCCAGCAGGTTGCTCTGAGTTGGCGTTGGCGAACTAGGTATACAGATCGTCCGAAATAGGACAGTTTCTTCGGCTTCCGGCAGGAACATTAGCGAGCTCTCGGAGGATTCGTCGAAGTCCCGATTGAGGGTGAGGGCCACATCGATAATCCGCACGACGGTGACCAGATCCAGGATGAACTCGGGAGGCTCGTTAAGCTGGCCTATGTTTCGAACTGGCTGCTCTTCGGGAAATCCACCCCACATGCTGTCGAGCATCGGAGAGGTGAGCTTTTCCCGCTGCCGAGTGCTCATCCTCTGAACCAGGCTGCGCATGCGCTGCCTATTGGGCTCGTCCCCACAGAAAATTCGCATGTTGGCCAGCGTCAACACCTGTGCAGTCTTCTTTAGTATGTTCTTCAAGTCCTCGCGATTCGGTCGGAAGAGGATCTGCACGCTGCCCTCGGTATTTGGCGGCAGGATCATCCGGCTAGGCCGCACATCAAAAGCCTCACTCAGGCGCAGTTTCATCAGCACAGTGGAATCCACTGATATGCCCACAAAGGCGGTTAGCGGGCCCTTGTTATGGAACCTGAGACTCGCCGAAAGAGGACCGGAGGATAGCTCGCATACATCGCCTATGGTGAGGAAACTGGCCCCCACAGGTCCCTTCAGCAGGCCCTGTATGGTTATAGACGCACTGCCGCCGTAGCCGTAAAGCGGTATCTCTAGGCCAGGTTGGCTGCTGTTGTGTGCTCCTGGGGGCGCATAGAATGACAGTGCTCCGATAGCCGCTCCACAGACAGTTGGGCAGAAATTAATCACCACCGAGCGACATTCCATGGCCTGCAGTGTGATTGTGCTGCTGTCGCTGCCAACGAGCTGGAAGCCGGGTCCCTGGATGCCCAGACGGATGACGAGTCGTTTGTCCGCTGTGTTCTTCACTTGCATGGACTTTCGCACGTCTGTTCGGAGCTTTGTGCTGCCCCAGCACAGGCTGGTGTGAGTCACCTTTAAGGGAAGCAGCTTTCCGTCCCGGTGGCTGAACTCACTGGAGTTGGAGCAGCGCGAAATACTACGCGGTGCAGAGGTAGAGCTGGTACCAGGTCCACGTCTTCCGCTCGTTGTAAATCCGCTGGTGGAACTTGCCTCGCTTCCCGCCGGAGAGGAGTTGGCCTTGCGTGCCACACCGCTCATCAGCTGCCGGCGCTCGGAACTGGTGGTGCTGTCCAGTAGTGGGGACGAGAGGCGGCTTCTCGGTGAGGACATTGGTGAAAGGTTTTTTCCCATGTTCGGGGAAATACCGAAGTCGCGCTCAGTGGAAGAGGCCACTGCGACATCGCATCCATCCAACCGAGTGCTGCTCAATGAAGAGGGATTACGAGGAATCAGGCCCACTGTGGAGATCGAGACCCTCTTCTTGTTCACCGGCGTTTTGTCCTCATCCTCGTTTTCGTCCTCGGTGCATGTTAGTGCACGTATCCCATCGCTACTCGCAGGACTGGCGGTTCTGGGGGAAATCTTAGTACGTCTCACTTTGCGGTTTGGCTCCTTCACCGGTGTCGAGGGCCACTCGTCAATATCCGCTTCAGCCTCGGTCTCCACGGGATCGGTTTCCGCACGGCTGATGGTAATCTGCGGCTGTTCCGCCAGCGGACTGAGGGGTTTACGCGAGAAACTCTGCTGCAGGTGACGAAAGTCCGTCGAGTTAAGCACAGAATCCGTGAAGCTCATGGTGTCCGTGAGCTTGTTGGAGCCGCACAAGGTGCGCTCCGCATGTGACCCCCTGCTCTGGTTCTCCTTGTTCTCATCTTCGTACTTATTTCCACGTCCATGCTCCCACAAATGGTTGACCACCTCCACAGTGGATGTATCCGAATTGAGATCGATATCCCTCAGCGCTTTGTCGATGGCCGAGAGACTTAGGATCTCGGAACTCGATGGCGGCCGCTTGGGCTCTTGAGCCGACAGTCCATTGTTGGTCTTCAGCACCGTCTGAATCCGATCTTGCTGCTTCTTTCGCATAAGGTTGCGTCCGAGATTGGAGTCTGCAATGGCATCAGCCTTTGTGTAGGTCTTATTGTCTGGCTGCGGGGTCTTCTCGCCGACGGAGTCCAGCGACTTGTTAACTTCTGGTTCCCGCATAGCCTGAGAAGGACGCCTGCGATCCGGGCTGTCGTCGCTCACAATGTTCCAGATGTTCTCAGAGCGCTTCTGAAAATAGTTGCCCAGTGAAAAGTCTGGATCTCCGACCAAGACAGAGCTGTAACAATAAATTTTAATATTAATGAGAAAATTATTAATTAATCCTAACATACTATCGGGAATAAATAAGCCCTTTACTAACTTGGACACGGAGGTTTCTATTTCGGATGTGGGGGGCGGTGCGGCAATCTTCTGCATTGCCTGGGTACTCAATGTGGCCGTCGGCATGGCAGCAAACTCTTGCGCCCACGAGATCTCGCCCTGCACCAACTTGGACTGCATCAGCTCGGCGGGGGCGAAGCTCTCATCCTGACCAGCTTCCGCCACCGATGTGGAGCCAAAAGAGAATCCCCCTCCCCCATTAAGACTTAGATCACTCATGTCTGCAGTGCGCGGCAAACTGCGGGAGCAGCTGAACGAGTCCGTGAGACTGCTAGAGTTGGCTCGGGACAAATGATAGCCGGTCTCTAGCTGGCTGGCATCGTGCAGCTTCTTTTCCAGCAGGCGGGCCTTCTCCACGAAGGAGGATTTGAGGATTTCGGCCACGGAAAGAGATGGCTTCTCCCGTCGGCGCTGTTTTTCCCCCTGGCAGAGCGTCGATCTGCCGGTGATCTCAGCGGGCTCAAAGGAGATGTTGGTGCCCTTGGGGGCAGGCGTGGCCAGGGCAAAAGACCCACTGCTGTTGAGATCGATGGTCTCGTCTGTTACCAGCTCTGAGATGTTTGTGGTGGAGCGCTTTTGCAGGGTAGTGCTCTTCGCTTGACTGGGACGCGTGGGCCTGGGTTTCTCCAGTGTTTCCAGGGCACGCAGCCGCTCTTCCCGGAGTCGCTCGTGGACGCCGGAGGAATCCCGACTAACGCCGCTCCTCCTGCTGCTCTTGCTAAAGCTAGACAGATCGCCAAAGACTGCAAAGACGCCGAATTACTCCATGCTTTGAGGGATTCTCGGGCTGTCCCTTAAGCTTACCCTTGAGATTGTCCATGTTTAGGATGCCCAGTGAGTTCTGGTCCATGTAGCTACCGCTTCCCTGGCTGCCACTGCTGTTGTCCATTTCGCTTCCTCCTTTTACAGTTAGTGCAAGCCAGTAAACAAAAAAGGCGCGTCGTTTCGTTCAAAAATGGACGTCGATAGTCGATAATACCAGGGCGGCACACGCACTACAGGGTTGCTTTCATTATCTTGTCTGTCAAATATCAGACTTTATCCTTTTTATATGATTTATTTCATTACACTTTTGTAAGCACACAAGTTAACATGCTCTGAAGGAACTATTCATTATTTGACAAAAAAAATTTTAAGAAAATATTAAGAACAAGAGCAAAACGTGCAACGCTAAACCGGCATCCATCCCTCGTCACGTATTTGCGAATTCTCCCCGTCTTCCCATTGCTCGATTCTGCTCGTCTGATTTCGGCGGTAGTGTTTATCACGGATTGGATTGGACTTGGCCTGCACCACACATCTACTTAAAAATGGAGGGAGCTATACTGAAAATAATTGATGGACTTCTGTGCACTGACACTGACAGGATTCAGCAGGTATGAATAGCGGGCGGTTAAAAGGAGGTTATCCTGTCCGCCCTTTGGTGACCTATTCCTCCTTCACAGTGCACTTTATTTTAATACCCTTCCGTTCTGACCGCATGGCTTGATTAGTTCATCAGTTTCTATACGTACAAGATTTTAATTCAGTGGTTATTAGATCGTCTTGAGCACATTCCAATACGTGCAAATGAGTCTATGGCACAGTGGGTCGTAATCAAGTCTTATTGCATTTACCCTTTTCTTCCCAACGTTGCTTTACCAGCTAAGTGTATTTGCTTTGTATGTCAATTTTAAGCAAAATCAGGGTTAAATTGCATTATTGTTTGAAATAATTGTTACATTTAAGGAAAATGTATTACCTTTTCAGAGCATTTCGCTAATATAAATAGAACAATTTTTGAGATATCTCAGGAGATTTGCCTTATTTTTTTAATATTTAAATGAAATGGTTAAATAAATGGACTTGAATTGTTGCTCTTTCTTGTGCAAGCACTTCTCCTTGTTCTTGTCTCATGGTCACGAGCACATATGGATATACAATCTGATGACAAAAAATTTTTTAGTATTGTCAATAATAAAACTTATACCCCTTTTATTAGGTTTGAAAACATAAATAAATTTTAATGACTCGTACCAATTTGATTAACAATACAATAATTTTTGCAAAGGAACAAAGCAAATATTTTTGTGGCTTTTGACAAAAAAACTATTTAAGATTGAAATAATTTCGGAAATATATGACGAACCACTGTCCATCTGCCATCGGAAAGCACGTTGTCCACATGGACGCACACTTCGGCGCTTCCCAATTGGGAAAATTGTTTATGCTGAAATTATTTGCCATGCTGCCCGATGGTGACTAATGAAATAGCTTTCTTTCCTCTCTTAGGCGACTGCCGAGTTAAAAAAGGCCTACGATAATCCTGAGACTGTGCTATGTCTTACGAAGATTGCGATATCGCACGAGGAGCTCCAGATGCGCCAGTTCGCAGCCGTGCTTCTCAACAGCCGGCTCAAAAAGCTGCGCCACTGGCAAATGGTTTCCGCCGAACATCAGGCAGCGTAAGTCCCTCGATCACCTTTTAATGGCTACAATATACATTTGTTTTTCCCGCTTAGCATTAAATCGAGCATTCTGCAGGTCCTCGTCACGGAGAAGGAGAAGAAAGTAAAGAACTCGGTGGCCCAGCTAATGGGTACCTTAGTGCGCCACGAGGCGGAGAAGGGGGACAGCTGGATGGGTGAACTCCTCAAGTTTATCTACGAACGCAGCAGCAGTCCCAATCCGGAGGAGAGTGAGCTAGGCTCGTCGATCTTCTCCAAGCTGACGGACGCCGCTCCCGACCAGTTTGCCCTTCACATGGAGAGTATCTTTCAGTTGTTTACCACTGTTTTGTCAACCGCCGAAGCCTCAGGGAACCTGGCGACTCAAACCGTGTTAAATATGCTGATCGGCACATGCTATCTGCTCCCGTTCGTTAGTGGCCACAGTGCCGCCGAGCAGACGGTGGTCAAGGCGGTGCCCTTGATTATCAAGGCCCTGCACGCCTTCGCCCTAAAGGGGGATGTTCATGAGTTTATGTGTGCTTTTGATATTGTGGACAGCATGGCCGAGTATGTTCCCCATTTGCTAACAAGCAATGTGAAGCAGCTGTTGGAGTTTACCCTGGTCACGGCGAGTAATAACCAGCTCGAGGATTCGATTCGCGTCCAGGCGATAACCTTCGTAGGCTGCCTTGCGCGCATCAAGAAGAAGGTGATCATGAAACAGAAGCTTCTGGAGCCCACTCTAACCGTTATATTCCAAGTCATGTGCCAGGACACCAGTGAAGGTAAAGCTACTTCCCTATTAATAACTAAGGTTTGCTAATTGTTTTCCCAATGGCTTCAGGCGACGATTACTTTACGGGGGAGAGTCCCAACAGCCCATCGTGCGCGGCCACACAGACCCTGGACTTAATGGCCATTCACATGTCGCCGGAGAAGTTCATTCCGCCGCTTTTGCAGTTGCTCGAGCCGGCGTTACAGAATCCTGATCCTATATGCCGACGATCCTCTTTCATTTGCATGGGTGTCATCGCCGAGGGCTGCTCCGAGGCCATTACCCACAAGTATCTGGAGGTCATGCTGAACATCATCAAAGCAGGAATTGCTGATTCCACGATGTCGGTGCGGGTCGCCGCCTTTTTCGCCCTCGGTCAGTTTGCCGAATTTCTGCAGCCAGACATTTGCAAGTTTGCTTCCCAGATTCTGCCCGTGTTATTTGACTATCTAAACCAGCTGGTAGTGGAACTCAAGGTAGGTAGGATCTGTAGCCATCTAAGGTCAACTTGGAATTTATTTGTATTCTACATTCTTGTTCGTTGTGCTGCTTTTAAGGCTGGTCAAAATAGCAAGGGGAGCTATCCCGCTTCCGTCTCTGCCAAAGATACCATAATGTACCTAGACAAGTTACAGATCAAGCGTAAATCGGTCCTCACCAAGTATAGGGTGCTTCTTTTTGTCTTACAAATAACTTTGATATTTGCACTTCATCAATTATCTCTTTTAATATATTTAAACTCCTTTTGACCCTCATCCTTTTAGTTTGACTCCGCTTTATAAGTCTTATTGCAAAAACTTGTCCAAGAGGTATTTTTTTTAGTTAATTATGCCTCCAAATACCATTTATGGGTGAGGCTAATGAAACTTTTAATGAGAATAGTAAAGGGGGGTCCGATTTCATTGTAACAATTCCATTCATTTGACAATCACTCTGCATTAGAACAGAACACGTTGATTGCCAGGAAGACACTAAAACCGAGTATTTACAGATGGGTCAGCCGGAACCGAAGCACATGGAACGTATGTTCTATGCTTTGGAGACCTTCTGCGAACATCTGGATGACGACATTGTTCAACATTTGCCCGTGCTGATGAATTGGTAAAGCTAGAGTAAACACAAGTAATTGTATTTCTCTTAATAATCTTAATTTCCAGTCTTTTTGAGGTTCTAGACTCCCAGAATTCAATCCACATACGAGAGTTAGCTTTGTCGAGTATTGCCTCGGCTTCCAGCTCCGCAAAGATGCACATGATGCCGTTTTTCCCCAGGATTATGACTATACTGCAGGCCTATCTTGTAAAGGATTGCCCTGAGGAAATGAACAACCTGCGCATCCAGGCCATCGACACACTAGCCGCGCTCATTAGCGAAGTGGGCAAGGAGAACTCCTTGCCGCTGGCCGATGACACGATGAACTACTGCCTGATGATGCTGGAAGACGGCCCTGATGATCCGGACTTTCGAAGGTCCATATACAATCTGATGGGCTCCCTGTCCTCAGTGGTCAATGAGAGCATGGCCAATGTGTTCCCCAATATTATGGATCGCATATTAGAGTCTGTGATCTCCTCGGAGGACGTGCTTCCGAAAGTTCCGGAAGACGTCGAAAAGGACTTGATTCTGGAGGCGGCCAATGTTGAAATTGATTTGGAGCACACGGATGACGAAGACGACTCTGAGGACCTAGACGGATTCCAAGTGGAGAACGACTATGTCGACGAGAAGGAGGAGGCTATATTAGCACTCAAGGATTTTGCTGATCACACTGGCGTCGCCTTCGCGCCCTATATTCAATCTGCTTTCGAGAACGTTTACAAGGTTATTGATCATCCGCAGGAAGATATCCGCAAAGCGTGCGTTGTTGCTATCTGCGGGTTCATTATCGCTCTTAACAAGATGGGCAATAAAGAGGGCGTGACGCGTGCCTGCGAGATTGCGATCCCGAAGTTTGCACATATTATACGCACTGATGAGGATATGAATGTGGTTATCCGTCTCCTGGAGGAGCTTGCCTATCTCTTCAATGACGTTAAGCTGGCGGCCATAACTAATCAGGAAAACGCCGATCTGATCTTCGGTTGCATAAAGGACGTTTTCGCAAACAAAATGGGCTGTCAATTCAACGAGCAGAGTGGGGGTGGAGATGAGGACGATCAGGAGGAGAGCCAGTGCGACGTGTCGCTGATCGAGAACGCTGCCAACTTGCTGCCCATGTTTGGCCATACGCTCAAGCCGGAGATTTTCTCGCTATATTTTGGACGCATTTACCAATTCTTAGTCCAAAAACTGGTAAGCATCAAAGCAAATTCCTTAAAAATAGCGTTAATTGGAAGAGAGTTGTTTTATGAAATTTTCTTCTTTTTTTTTTTAAATCTCCAACCAATTTTTTTCTTTTAGGCTAAAGCCAAAAAACAAGATGAGGCGGAGCACCGAGCATATATCTATGGCTCTCTGGCGGACTGTTTCCAGTGTCTACGCAAATGTTCAGTCACCTATTTTGACGCGTTGTGCCCCCTGTTCATCACCGGGACCAAGGACTCCGATCCCAAGTCGCGACAGAACTCATTTTACGGACTGGGAGAGCTTGTCTTTTTTGCCGAGGAAAAATCTTTCCAGTAAGTACTGCGAGAATGGATAAACTAGTGCGATGTATATCATAATTTATTAACATTCACAGATCATATCCGGCAATCCTACAAGCACTTTCTGAGGCCATCGCCAGGGAGTCGAATGCCTCCGCAATGGACAACATTTGCGGAGCAGTGGCGCGTCTAATAGTCACTAACCATGAGGCGGTGCCACTGGGCCATGTGCTGCCAGTGTTCCTTAACCATTTGCCGCTAAAAGAGGACGTCGTGGAGAATAAAATGATTCAGAAAGCGTTCCACGTGCTCTACTTGCACGCTCGCCCCAGTATTGACGCCTATATCGAGCAGATGTTGATCATCACTATTGAAGCGTCTTACAAGAAACAGATGCCGGACGACGAAACCACCGAGAGCGCGGTGGCATTCATTAAGGAGATTCGCGAACATTACCCTGACAAGTTTAACACAGTGTCTAATTCGAATCCGGAGGTGTTCAACTATGTGCACACCCTGTAAGCACTCACATCGCCGCCAATACCAAACAGAACAGCACACGGCACACATCTCCAGCTAACCTAATTAATTTACGTCCTTCGCCTGCAGCTTCTGGTTTTGGAATATGCAATTGGGCCGAAGAAGCTTTGGTTATGAATAGGTTTGGATATGGTAAAAATTTAAGTTATTAATTATGCGTTAGTATGCTTTGTGGCGTTAAAACATTGAGGAAAAGTGATCTTTAAAATTTCAAGTTGAAGTTCTTTCTACCAATCCGTAAAGCAGCGGAAACATATTTTCTAATTTATAGAAACATCCAGTGACACATGAATATGTATGAATAGTCTAAAATAAATAAAACAATAAAGAGTAATATTTGTTTTATTCTAAGGGTTTACTTTGCAGAGTGGTTTGTAATGAAAACAATTGCGTGAAATCGTATCCATCCAAATTTTGTTGAAATTGTATGAGGTCATTCGATTCTATGATTTGTTGTTTTTGACGGATTACGCGGTTTTGTTTAATTTGGGGTCCATCCCTTGACTGTTTCTTACAGCTGTCATATGATCATATTTGGTATAAAATAATTCAAAAATTTCATATTTTTTGAACTTTAATAAAAGTACTAGAAAACTTTAAAATAAAATGCAGTATTCAAAGCTGACTTTTTGAATGCCGGTTTCTACCAGTGCGCATTCAGACGGATAACAACCTCCCGGACGATGTCCGCATGATTAGCGTGCAGCTTGAGACCCGAGTCGACATCCGTCCAGCGAACATTTGTGGCATCGTCCCCTGCCAGTAGCTCCAGCTGGCCCACCTGACTCCCGTCCTCATCGTGGAAGTTGAGCGCCGTGGTTTCCATCCATGCGTTGTCAGTATTGCGGAAATCGTCTACATAGCCTTGGTACACCTGGACGCCGCCCTCGCGGAAGAACTGTTCCACCATGTTGGCCTTATCCGTGAAATTCAGAGCCTCCTCTGTGAACTCCCGCTTAAGGGTGACGCTCACATTCTCGCCGGGATCGACCATGCCGCCGGGGATGGCCCACAATTTGTTGTCCGACCGCTGGATAGCCACCATCTGTAATATATTCCTGAAAGGAAAGATGATGGGCTTAACGAAGTCTATAGATAATTGACGCCACCCACTTGCCGGTGGCTGGGTTGGCCTCAAGAGCTCCTTGCTCATTTCTCTTCCAGCGCGTCACTATGGGATCAGCAGCATGATTGGGCCCCCATCTGCCTAGTGAGCCTCGTCCACTCAGTCCTGTTCGTCCGATCGGATTAAGGGGAAGTCCATCCCGCAACTTGTATGACCCGTGGAAGGACTTGCGGTTGACCTGACCATCTAGCTGGTTCCACTGCGGCTTGAACACCTCGCTGTTCAGGGGAGGATCGGCCCACACTTGGCCCCCAATGTGTGGCGAAGTGTACTCCGGTGGACAGTAATCCGGGTACGGCTCCGACCAAAAGACCTGCTCGTCGGACACCGGGAACCGGAGGACGGAGCTGCGTGGGTACATGTTGTTTCGGCACATCAGGTGCCGAAAGATTCCTGGCTTCACCAACGAGGACATCATCAGGGCGGATGTTAGGAAGCCTTCAAAGAATTGTAGCAAACAAAGAAACAGCAGGAGCGCGAACTTAGAACTGGTCATCGGAACTAATGCTCTCACAAAGAAACACAAACAAATAAAATTGCTTATGTGCACCAGCCGATATTAAAATAGCGCTAATAGGACTTGCGGTAATCAATTTTGGTGTGTAAGACGCATATATAAAATAAACTGGATACAATGCAAAAACTAAAAAGTTTTTTGCTAAGCTTTATAGTTTTGATACAAAAAATAAATACATGTATCTAAGTATAATGCCATAGACCTATACTTACAGTGCTATTATATTGGCCATTGCTGTATGAATTAATCCATGTGAACACAGTTTTCACCAGCCAGCTCTGGTCACACTGAGATGCACATTTGAAATCTCAAAGATTCAGTTTATTACGATTTGTGTTATTTCGGGTAATTACAAAAATTTGAAGCCAATTAACTTAAAATGCCTGGTTTCCGCTGAATGCCCCTGACCAAACGAGAAGCCCATCCGTGACTCAGGTTAGTCCTGGCGCAGCGTCAGCTCCTTGACTTCAATACCGTCCTTTGTGATAATGTTGATCAGCACAGAGTCACCAGTGTAAATGTCGCGTTCAGCGGCCGAAATGAAAGTATCGGAAGCGACACTAACGGCACGCTCTTTGGTCAGTTTAGGCACTTCGCTGGCGGCCAAGTTCATGTTCTTGTACCCGATCTGGTTGTCCAGTACGGGTTGCAATAGAGTTCCGGCAGTGCCGCCGGCGCGGTAGGTGGCCTTCTCGCAGTGGCCAATGGGATCGTAAGAGTAGACGACGCCTTTGCCGTCCTTGTCGATCCCCGCCAGGATATTAGACACGTAGTACGGGAAAAAGCGGCGGTTGTACATAGTGATGGAAAGCATCTGGGCCACTGCATCCGTGGTCATGGTGCGCAGATGGGTGTGCTCGTAGCTCTGCATGCGAACCTTCATCAGTCCGGTCAGGGATAGGGTATCCGCCCAGCACCCTGTGGAACCCAGCACCGTCAAAGGCGACAGCTTGAACAGTTTGCTTTGACTCCGGGAGTGGATGTTGTACCCGCTGCTCAGCCGTGTGTCTGCCGCAATAACAGCGAAGTCGTCTCCAGCGATGGCCACAATGGAGCTGCAAACACGGAATCACTCCGGTCAGTTGGGGACTTCAAGCGGTCATTCTTGGGAAAACTCACCCGCCGTTCGACTCGTAGGGCGAGAAGTCTGCATGCTTCACGCCGGGCACCTGGTAGTCCGGGAATTGCTCAAAGCCTAGGCTGCTCATGTTTGTTCTCAAAATTTACAAAATAACTCGCCAAGTAAAAAACGAACGAAATGATTTGCAAGTTTCCAGCGGCTAACCAAAATCACAAATTTAGTGCGACCGTAGGTGGAACAAGCAAAATACTATCGTGCTCGCCCGGTCTCAAAAGTTATCGATAAGTATTTGGTATTTATGTGAATAAAATGTATTTATTTAAATTTATTATTTAAAATTAAAGTATTTTATTAGTTATACTTTATATAAAATTGTTATATGTTTAGAAGTATACTTACTGTTGAAATCAGTTATATAAATTCAAAGAGTATCTTCTATTAGAGTTAAGTTATTTTAAAGATTTCCGTAAAATAGATGTTCATTTCTGATGAAGTACATGATTGATGGCAATATTTCAAAAATGGCAAAACAGATATGTATGAATAAAAATGTATAATTTATTGAACCGTTCGGTTATTTTCAACAATCTTTGGATTAAACAGGGGCAGATGTTTTTTTCTAAGCTATTGCAGCTAGGCCCTCTACGCGTTCTCTATGCAATTGCCCTCGATTCTTTTCCACCAAAGCCTTGACATCATAAAACCATTTTCCTACGATAAAAACAAGAAAATGTGAATTAAAGCTTGAAAATATTGGGATGGAGCCCAATACCTACCAATGCTAGTGTTTTGCAGACAATCCTTGAAAGTCTGACAGCCCTCCATGCTGCTGAGGACGCCGAAAACGGAGAGATCAGCCAGGCTGGGCTGTTTGCCGCCCATGAATTTCGTATTTCGTTTTTTCAGCTCGGTGGTCCACTGGTCCAGAGCGTCGTACATGTGCGACCGGACGTCGTCGGTGAGGGCGTGGCGGCGCTTCAGCATCTTGGCAATGGCCCACATGGCAGTGGCGCCGCAGTAGACCATCAAATCGCGCTCCCACTTGGGAAAGTGCACGTCCCACTCGCCGGCCTCAGAGAACCACTCAAATGTCTCCAGGGACTCACCCATGGTCTGGTAGCAGTTCGGTGATATCAAATGCACGAGGTGGCTGTCGGCCCAGGATCTCCATTTGCGATCGATTCTGCAAAAAACAGAAATAGATTAATCAAATGTAGAAATGCAATTGATCCATGAGAAATTAAATAGATATATTTGTCAACAAATATACATTACAGAGTAAACATATCCGACGAACTTACTCCTCAGTTTCCTTGGACAATCCCTTGGGCGTGTTCTCGCGGTACATGAGGAAGTATTTGTTTAAAATGTCATTCTTCTTTTTGCCATCATCGTCGAAGAAGGAGGTGTGCGGATAGAACTGCGCCAGTTCGCCGATGTCCATGCGCTTGTCCTGGAGATAGGTTGCTATCAGGGATATGATGGCACTGGAGTCTACCATCTGGACGTATTGGCCGTCTTGCTGCCGGATGAGCACCATGGGCACCTTTTTCACCGACGACCAGCGTATGTCCTGCCGGAGAACGGCATCTACTTCCACCACCGCATAAGAGATGCCCATGTAGTCGAGGAAGGCGCGCACCTTGCAGCAGAAGGGACACGTCTGAAACTGGAACAGCACGATGTCCAGTCCGGAGGTGTCCTTGGGGTTAACATATCGCTTGGTTATCCGCACTCCCGCCGGAATCCCGTCCAGGAGCTGTGGCTTAGTCTCCTCGTGCTCCTTGTGCGAACTGCCGTCCGTCCAGCGATGGTACATGGTGTATACCGATCCTGTGGCTGCGCCCACTGTCGCGCCCAAAATAGCCAGCTTAAAGGTTCCATTCGGCTTCTTCTTGGCTCCCCCGTTTTCCACCGCCTGTGCAAACTGGCGGCGAGCAAATGCAAATTCCTGGTTTTGTTTACGGGTCAACAGGCGCAGGGCTCCGCTCCCACATCCCGACGGCGGAGGACGCACACCTGTGAGGACTGTGGCAGACGCCAGCCGGAGACATGACATAATTTGCACTTTGTTTTGACTAATACTAAATATTATGCAAAAATCAGCGACTGATAAATTCCCGACTAGAACGTGTTAGGGATGGGAGAGGTCACTTATCGTTGTAAGTTAAGTGATGAGTGTTTTCTAGCTATGATTCATATGTAACAAACATATTTATTTCATGTTAATAAATTTCTTTAAATAATTGGTAGTTCGTGTGTAATGTTATTTCAGTTGTGCATATGTTGTTCAGGAGTATTTTTCGGCGACTCTTTACAAACTCAAGAGAGAACATTTTGTAAATGATGTTATCGATAATAGCCACCAGGGCAGCATGCCAGCTGTATCATCTCTGGTCAATACAAAAAAAAACTCAAGCCCATCAAACTTTTTTAAGTTGTTATTTTTGCAATCTTCACGAAATTTGTTTACAAACAAAACCGAACCGAATGTCGGCGTCTGCGGAGGGTCTGGCTGCACTGGACAAATACGGTGATGAGGACATCTTCACCCTTCTGATCCGATACGGACTTTATGTGGGGGCCCTGTTTCAGTTCGTTTGCATCTCAGCCGCAGTGCTGATGGAAAATAATTCGGATAGTAATCAGGAGTCCGGCGAAGTGGCGGAACGGGAGGGTGAACCAGTACGTACGCGGCTCCACAAGATTCGCAAGATGGAGAAAAAGAAGCGGCGCTAGATCTAGATGTATCATTAGCACATACTTAGCCTAAATACACTCGAATGCATTCAATAAGCGAAAAATAAAACATAGTTAATAGGAGTATCCACAGAAATCTCTAACAAAGTGGTCTTAATCTAGCTTAGCGTCCACAAACCCACATTTATTTCTTACAGCATACTTTCAGGTGATTTCAAACCTCCCAGAGATTTCTCAGGTATTCCCGTAAGTGCTCCCCAGCCCTTGATCGTTGATTTTGGGAAGAGGTTGCCGCCCTGGCACGATTTTTTGCACATGACTCAGGGGGAAAGCTCTACGCCCCTTTGGAAAACGCCTTCCACCATCAAAAAGCAGATGTTTAGTTTGGCTGTTATCTTTAATTTGGGAATAATATAAATTATAATAATCGTATATTTATTATGTTGCTTGCAATGTTGTTGTTTTCGTTTGTTTTACTTCCCTTTCATCTATGTACGTATGCATGTGTGTTGTGTGTGTGTGTGTGTGTATATTGAATGCTCTTCTCTCTCTTGCTCTTTCTATATATATATCGGTATATATATATAATAGAGTCCATGCCAAAGGATGCACAGACAATTATCACTATAAATTATTATTATGCAGTATTTAGTTTTCTTTTTTCATGAATTTTGCTTGGAATTACATTTTTAATTCAAAACTCATTGTGAATCTTCAGTTTTTTGGGGGCGTGGCAGGTCTTGGAGGTGAAGGATCTCTCGTTTCAAAAACGCTCAAATTTCAAATACAACAACTAGTTAAATAGATATCGAAAATGGGTCTAGGGAATAAGGATTGGTGGAGGAACGAAGGATGGTAAAACATATAAAGTAAGATAGTGGATCTCAAGGCCCAGAATGTCTAGATGTGGCTATGTTAAATTCGAAACTCACTTTCGTTTTTTTCGGCTTTACGCTATTTACTCGTACTTTTGTTGTTTTCTAATTCGCTTTATCGTTATTTATCATTATCATCAGTGTTGTTGTTGTCTAAATTATTGTTTAGTTACTCACAAGTGTAGAGTCATCATCGTCACAAAATATAGTATATATAATATATATTTGCTTTAACCCACACACAAAACATGTTCACATCCTTCTAACCCACCATCACTTGTTCTGCTTCCGTTTCGATCGCTTCTGGTTACGGTCCTTTTGCCCCCGGGACGCTGGAGCTGGAGTTGGAGCTGAAGTTGAAGCTGAAGTCCAGGTTCAACTAAGCCTCGGGCAGCGGCTTTAGCTCCTTTATCTGTTTGATCAGATAGGCCTTCTCGTCGTTGAACTGCTCGTCCTCGGAACGATCCGTATGGAAGTTGGTCAGGAAGTCGACCAGCTTCGTCTGGTTGCGTAGCAGGATGTCCAGGATGGGCTTCGGCTTGTTGGGATTCGCCACGAACACCTTGAAGACGTGAAACGCCTCGAACTGTATGTTGCGCGACTTCTCCTTGAGCATGTTCATCATCAGCTTGAGGTTTTCCGGCTCGGAGATGTAGCGCGTCATTACGGTGAAGTTGTGCCGGTCCAGCAGCAGTTCGCCCAACAGCTTCAAGCTCTGTCGCCGCGTCACATAGTTTTCAGAGTTGAGCAGCCGCTGGTAGTGCTGCGAGAAGAACTTGTCGTAGTTGGCGTCCAGGAACTCAGCGCACAGCAGCTTGTGGCGCGTGAGCAGCTCCTTGAACGTAGAGAAGGCATCGCTGGCAATGTCGAAGGTGGAGACCTCCACGTAGCGGAAGAACTTAAAGAACTCGTCCGAGTGCAGCATAATCTTGGCCAGCGCCTCGTACCGGGCGCACTCCCTCAGCATAGTGCCAGAGTTTAGAGCGATCTCCGGATGCGCATCCTCGTATCCAGCCATCAGGGTGAACAGGATTTCTGGCTTCGTGCAAATATACTCCACGGTGGGGGAGCGGGTACCAATTTGGCGGCGCAGCACATTGTTGAATATCAGGGCCACATGCTTCTTGCCCTCGAAGTCGATGCGATGCAGGTTCTGGATGAGCAGCAGCAGCAGGTTGCTGTTGTACAGCTCCTGCGACAACTGGGCTACCACGTAATCCGCCGGAGGTTCGGCATCGCTGCTCCCGTACAGCATGTTCTTGATCGAGACCAGGTTCTTGCTGACGTCCTCCTGCGCCTTCTCCACCTTGCGGTCGCCCGCCTCCAGGGCGTTGATCGCCTCCTTCAGCGACTTGACCAGCTCCACTGGCGACTTCTGTGACTTCCCGAACAGTGGCATTCCGCTGGCTGCTTTCCTGTCTTTTCACTCGAAATTGGATTTTGATTCGGATGTGGATGTGGATGTGGTTGGGTTGTCGACGATGTCTCGTATCTTTGCCGAATTATCCTGCTGTTCGGGGATCTTGAGGTGTTGGCTTTGTGTTCGCTTTGAGAGTTGCCTAATTACCGACGGCGAGGACGCGGAAAACAATGCTTGGCAATATTATCGCGGTGGAATATTCTATTATTATATATTATTTCGTCTTTTTCTTGTCTTCTTCTAGGGATGAACAATTTCGATTGGCCGTCGATTCGATAGGCCTATCGCAAAGTCGCACGGCACGGCTGGCCGGCAGTGTTGTAAGGCGCCAGCAACAAAATTAACTGTTTAAATTAAAACATTTTATTTTCCTAACTTACGTTTTTATTTTTTTATTTAATATCTGAACCAAAAACCTAACATCATAATTTTGTTCGGTTACCAATATTTTTATACTCCTGGGAAGGGTTTTGTTTAGATGATGAAGGGGTATCCAAGGGTTCGTTGTTTTTAATTGGAATTATTAAATTAACTAAAAAAATAGTTTTTCCTACCGGACACTATCCGACAAGACATAGTCTTTAATAAAAATGCAATAAAAAAGCAAGGGCAAATGCTTTTCTCAGCTTAAAAACTAAGACTTAAAACATATATTTTCAAATGCTGAAAGCCATCAAATGTTTATACTTTGTCAAAAATATTTATACTTTATGAGAATTAAGTGTATCTTTTCAAATATGAAATTATGGTCAAACAAAAACACACTTGTTAATGTTTAAAATGTAATGACGAGAACAAATATACTCAAACCGTTAAACATCTTTAAGCCCAAAATTGCCAGCAGCGCTTTACAACATTGCAATCCCGTTAAAACAAGGTGTTTTGAATTCTTTAAATATCGCTTTTATTTCTCATTGAAGTACTTTGTTTTTGATCCGTTTTCGTTTTAGATATTATTCTGCAGCGCATATCAGGCGCTTGGTGTATCATAGAAGTTACAGAAATATATTTGTGTATATATTGGGCAACATTTCGTTTTCGTCTTGTCAGCTCTGTAAGCCCATTTTTCGATTCGGGATCAAGAAGAGGACTTGGGGGGTTAAGGAAAGGCAATATATTGTATGCACATCAATATTTATAATTATATCTGTAGGTTTGACCGCCCTGCATATTGTTGCAAGCTGCCCCTAGCCTTCATTTTTGTTTCGTTTATTTTTAAATAAATTTATTTGGTTTTTGTTTTTTTATGTGATTTTTGTTTACGTATAAAAGTTGTTTAAAATCCTTGAAAATATTAGATAATAATTACAATTGGTTGTGTAATACGTCTTAAAAGCATTTCGATGCGCTTCGTTCTCGAACATAGATTAAACATAAATCAATTTAGTCTTTGCCACTAAACATATAAACTTGAGTAGTAGTAGTTGTAGTTATCAGTTAATAATAATATCTTTGGGCTTTGCTACTGTATATGTAATGGATACGTCAAGTACATATAGATCATGATCATAGACATATATGCTGCGGGCCTTAAAACGCGCGATCGAAAAGATGTCGCGCATACGCATTTCAAAGAAGTATCATCTACCGTTTCCGTTTTCTCAAAAAAGGGGGAGTGTCGTGGTCGTTAGATTTATAATAATATCATTATCTTTTATATCTTTTATCTTGTAGAAGTATGTAAATGTATAGGTATAATAAAACATTTTACGACTAGTATATGTAAATATATGTATGTATATGTATATATGCATTGCGTTTTCTTTGTAATTACTAATTTTATTGAGATATTCTATGAATATATTTCCTTTCATTCTTAAGCCATGTCTTGTGTCTTTCTATATAAAACAAACGAAGCGCGAATACGTTTGAGGATACGTTTGAAAGGGGTTGAGTGAGTGGGAGGAGGGGTTCCCTTACTTTAAAATTAAAAACAAGGATCCTCCCGCGAGACCTTACCCAAATTTGCTTTGCAACTCATTGTTTTCTGTTTTCATTTTTGTTTTTCTGGAAGCGTTCGTCGGGGCTCTGCACAGATCTGACTAGATATATATGGGTATATATGTATAATAGAAGCTACTACTACACGCTACCAAGTACGATACATAGGTGTCCTCCTCCGATTTTAGTTGCTGCTGCTACTGTAGTTTTTCTTTCTTCTTCGCTGGGCTTGAAGTTTCGATTCCTGTTTTCCTATTTCCGGCTCCGTTTCCGCTTCCACGGGGGATGGTGTGGTTGGATGATTGGGTCTGCAGATGGGGCCCATCACTTGCGCTTGATGAAGTTGCCCTCGGCATCCAGCCAGATGCCCGGATGTTGGTCGGGCGCGTCCATCCCCCGTCTTATTATTTACCTGTTAAGGGCATTGGAGATCTGGCGCAGCGACTGACCCACCTCGGCCACCAGGCGCTCGTTGTCCTGGACGTTCTTGCTGCTGGCGGAGCGCAGGTGCTGTGACTGCGCGTCCACCCGCGTAACCAGCTCCCGGAACTGGAACTTTGAGTGCGGCGGCATAGCCCCGTTTTCCGCAAAGATCACGCACGAGTTGTGCAGGATGTTGAGCTTGTCGCTGAGCTGCAGCCACTGCGATCCTGCGATGGCGTTCACCGGATGCTTCAGCGAGCCCTCCAGAAGACCCACCAGCTCGAGGATGCTCTCGCGTGAGATCTGGGTGGAGCTGGCCGGTTCGGCCAGTTTCGCTATCGGCGTGGCGTAGATGGTTAGCTTGGTGGGCTTGTGTGGGACCGCCGGCTTCTGTTGGATCTGCGGCTTCTGTTCGTACAGCGACTGGGTCATGTCCGTTGCTCCTTGGCTTCCCGATCCCGATCCTGGGCCCTCCTGATGCGACTGCTCCTCGTCATCTGTGAAGAGTTGCGTTGAATGAGAGGTTTTTATTGTGCTGCCGGCCTGCTGCCTGCTGGTGCAATCTCTACTAGTGGTGCTAGTGGTTGTGGTGGAGGAGTTGGAGGTGGTGCAATTCGGGGGCGGTGGTGGTGGGGCTGCCGGAGGCGGCTTGTTGCCCGGCTTGGCTGGGAGGGTACTAGTACCGGTGGCTCCCGATTTCATCCCATATTTGGGCGACAGCTGGGCATTTGGTGTGCCCCCGCCATTCACCACCGATGTCTGCTGCTGGAGAATCGAGCTGCTGGCATAATCCGGCGCCGGCGGCTGCTGCTCCCACAGTTTCTTTAAGCTATTAATACTACCTGTGCTTCGTCGCTTGCCGAGATCGCCATCGCCTGCTGCTCCCGCTTCTGCCTCCACATTCGAGTTGGTAACGTCGATTTTTATTTCAGTCTTTTGCATGGCCTGGGCGAACTTCTTGCTGCTGTCCTCCTTCCGGTTCAAAGTTCCCGTGTTGGCATTGATGGTTACGAGTTGGGGGGCTGCTCCTGACACTGGAGCTGGAGTTGCCGACTCCTTCTCCTTGTCCACCCGACGCAGATGTGCCTTAAAGTCGATGATGCTACTGGTCGGCTCCGCCTTGGCCATTGGCGGGCTCATCTTCTTGGGTTCGACTTTCTTGAGCTGAGCTTTAAATCCGGATCCGGAACCGGATCCATTGCCGTTGGTTAGCTTTTGTTGTTGCGTCGTCTGCTTCGGCAGATTCATGCTCTCGGCAAGCTCGGTGACCAGCTGGGAGACGGGATCCACGGCAGCGATTCCAGATCCATTGGCTAGATGCGAGGTCGGAGCACTATCCTTCCCAGCCGCCTTGATCTCGGTGATGAGCTTCTCCTTGAGATCCTCGGGCGGACTGCCCAGCGAGCTGCAGGAGTCGGTTGAGGGCTCGCGCTTTCTCAGGGACACTCCAAATCTTGAGCTGGCCTCCTCCACACTAGGCGCGGTGTTGCTAACATCGTTGTGGCTACTATCGTTGTTGTTCGTTCCGTTCCCGTTGCTGATATTGCCATTATTCGGGAGTTGGGCATGCAAATGTTGCTGGATGGCCTGGACAGCGCTCTCTGGCGCCGGAGGAGGAGGTGGTGGTGCACCCTCGAATTCCTCTGGGGGCGGAGGCAAATCCAATGGCGGCGGCGGAAACTCTAGATTGGCAAGAGCCGGCTGGGCTCCGGATCCCACGCCGGAACCACTGCGCTTGGGTGAACTACTGGATCCACCGGCCCGGAAGGAGGAGAATGTCATCATGGTGCCTTCTGTGGTGGTGCGATGACGCTGCAGCTTGTTTAAGCTTGCCGCCGCATTGTTCTGCATGGTCACTCCACCTGAGGAGTTGCTCCTTATCATTTGCTGTGGCGCAATGGGGCTGGTCTTCGGATTGATCCTGACCCCCGGTGGTGTGGCATGTCCGTTGGCTGGCGGAGGAGTAGGAGCAGCTGCTGGCAGAGCAGGAGCAGCCTCACTACTGTCCTCCAGACTGTCTAGGTAGGCACCGATCCTAGCCACCTTGGGCAGTGTGCCGTAGCGATTCACCACCCGCTTCACATTCATCACCTCCAGAGCACCCACAGTGATCGGATGGGCACTGGTGACCACCCCGTTGTTGCCATGATGCGGTTGAGTTGGTGGCGGAGCTGGAGCAGTGGTTTGCGGATGCTGCTGCGAGCGCTTGCTTTGACGGGTCTCCAGACCCCGGTTGCCCATCACTGGAGTTCCAGTCGGGCGCTTGAAAGAACTGTGCTGCTGCGAAGATCGAGGAGCAATACCGCCTCCGCCGCCGTGGAGAGAATGCTGCATCTTGTTGGCGGCAGGAGCGGCGATCACTTGGCTCAGACTCTGCTCCAGACTATCGCCCGTGGCGTCTGTGTCCGGATCGGCTGTCGGATCCGTCTCCGAGTCGTATCGCTGTGTCAAACTGTTAATGTCACGGGCTAGTCCTGGCAATTTAATCAGAAATAAATAAGAAAACAAGGGTTAATTTGTATTAAGTGCTGTATTGGTTAGTCTAATGCTTCGTGCTGAGTGCGAAATGCAGGGTGGTAGTATTTATCAGTGATGGGAAATCCATTTAAATCTCGTAATTATTCTTGCCTTAAATTAAATTTTGTATTCTATAAAAATGTATAGATAGTAGGGGATCTAAGAAATTCCCATCACTGGTAGTTGGACACGGGTTAATCCTGACCAGAGTCTTGTGGTGTGTATGTGTGCGTTGATGTTTGTCGAGCGGGTTAAACTAAAAACACCAATAAATGAACAATGAACATTGAGAGTTGAATAACTGTTACAACCTTGAAAGAATTCTTGTAGATATAAAATTTAACAGTTTTTTTTCAGTCAAGACTAAAAAGGTTTACATTACGATATGGTGAATAAGTTATAAGTCCATAACAATGTCCTATTTTAAAACTTTTTCAAAGTTGAAGAAAATAAGAATATAAATATTTAATTTAGGAAAATATTGATAAAATCATTATAAATAACTTTCAAGGATATAAACCAATTGGGTAACAAAATATAAATAAAATAAAAAAGACAATAATAACAGGCACCAAAATAGGAAAAAATAGGAAAGGAATATGAGGTTAGAGCTATTTCTTGAAAATAATGTTAATGATAAGAGAGGAAACAGACAAAAGACGTAGCATTAGGAAATCATCGATACAAATTAAATTTTAAAACTAAATTTTAGAAAATTACCAATGCGAAATGGAAACATAAATTCCGCACTGAACAACCAATAAATACAGAAACTTAAGCCAATACAAACGAACCATTAATAATAAAACACAAATACGAAACACGAAACAAATAGTACAGGAACCAAAAATAAACGTAAGCAATTTTTGAGTTGGAGTTTTTCGCTGTGGACTCCGTTGACAAAATACCTCGAAATAGGATGTCGTAAAGAAAGCTACTGCAGGAGGACGATTTCTTAATGGAATACTGTTGTTGTTTCTGTTGTTGTTGTTGTTGATGTTGTTGCTGTACTGGCAGTGGTACGGATTGTTGCAGTACGAACTGTTGTTGTTGTTGTGTACGTATTTGGTGTGTGTGGTGGGTTGGAATTTGGGTCTTGAAATTTCTAGAGAGGGTCTGGCTGAAATTGTGGGCAGTTTTTAATTTGTGTATACCATTCGTGCTGAGGTCGTCGATGAAATTGCCACGTGCGTTGGCAGGATCCTCCTCGCGATAAGTGGAGTCCCGACTGCTCGAGAGCAGGCTAAATAAAGAAGATACAATATTAGGTTAGTTACCCTTGAAATCCAAATGCATGTGGAGAAAAGTATCTCTAAAGTATAATTACATATCTTGAGCCAAACATATTCAGATTATACTAATCTTTTATTGAAAAGATTATACATTACATGCCAGAAGGTGTCTAAGACACACAAATCATGATAAAAATACACTTTAAGAAATATTTCTATATTTTTGTATTTCAAAGGTAGTTGGCAAAGGTTTTCATTAACTCTTTTCTTTTGGTTTAAATAAGTTTGATTGTAAATTACTGATGTAATACTAATTTTAATATTTAATAATTACTTGATAAGTATTTAATATTTCCCATGGCAATGTTGTCAATAATTCTTCTCAAACTATTGCTTCCATTAAGTCAACTCACCTGGTACGCTTTGGTGGTGCGGGAGCCTGCTTGCCCTGCTTGTTGGTGGTGCGTCGCATCTGGACATTGCCTTTGCCCTGGCTGGAAAATGTGCTCAGCTTGGTGGAACTGGAGCCGGTTTCTGCAAGGATATGACAAGGTTAGATGGGAATCAACTTGGAAATAGACCAAACCTCACCTGACATGGGCGTACTGGCCGGCTGCTGGTGCGGATCGTTGTGGTGGGCGTTCGGCGCGAGGGACTGACCTCCTGGCAGACCCTTCTTCACCATCTGCGGTGTGAGACTGAGCGAGGCGGTGGCCGAGGATGAGGAAGGGCAGCCGCTGGCCGCCGTCGTGGTTGTGGCTCCTCCGCCGGTGGCCACGCCCGATGTGCTCGGAGCGGAGCTGCTCGCGCTGGTGGCGTTGGCGTTCAGCTGCTTCTCGACCGCTTCAGTGATGGACGATTCCTGCGGAGGAGCGGAGAAGGAGAGATGGGCACCATGTGGCTCATTATTGCTATCACTACTTGCTGCACCCTCGATCTTGAGCGATCAGAGCACGTCGACGAGGTGGTGGCGGTGCCTGTGGCTATGACTATGACTACTCCTATTCCTATGGCTATTGCTATGGCTATGGACATGGCTGTGAATGCTGCCGCTGTTCTGCTGGAGCTCGTCGTCGTCGTCGCCGTCGTAGTCACTCGCCTCCTCGCCAGCATCGTCATGATCTTCGTTATCATCGTCATATTCATCGTCCCACACCTCGACGTCACCCACCTGAAACATGTGCTCCAGCGCATGGTGTATGCTCTTGAACGTGGGCCGGTCGGTGGCATCCCACTGCCAGCACTGGCGCATCAGGTCGTACACCTCCGGTGGACAGCCGGGGGGCCGCTCCATGCGATAGCCCTTCTCCAGCTTGTGGTACACATCGGTCAGGTCGATGCCCGGATACGGCGACATCCCGTAAGTGGCTATCTCCCACAGCAGAACCCCGAAGGCCCACACGTCCGACTTGGTGCTGAACTTGTTGTACGCCAGTCCCTCCGGAGCGGTCCACTTGATGGGGAACTTGGCACCGGCGTGCGCCGTATACGTATCGTCTCGCATCAGGCGCGCCAGCCCAAAGTCAGCCACCTTGACAAGCTTGTTATCGCCCACCAGGCAGTTGCGGGCGGCCAGATCGCGGTGGATATAGTTGCGCGACTCCAGGTAGCTCATTCCCGATGCTATTTGCGTGGCCATGTAGAGCAGCGCAACCGCATCGAGGGTCTCGCGGCCGGCGGATCGCAGGAAGTCCAGCAGATTGCCGTGCGACATGAACTCGGTGATGATGTAAAATGGCGGCTCTCGAGTGCAAACACCTAAAAAGGGGAGTCAATCGAATCAGTTTGCTGATCAACAGTAACAGAACTGGTTATTCCCATAAAGAGATTTCCTCTTACAGAAATAAGAACTGTTTATCACAAAAACCCACCTATGAGCTGCACCAGATTGGGGTGCTTCATCTCCTTCATTATGGCCGCCTCCTCGAGGAAGTCCTTCAGCGCCATGGTGTCCTCCTTGAGCGTCTTAACAGCTACCGTATTGCCGTACCTCTTCCAGACAGCCTCGTACACCTCGCCGTACTGCCCGCCACCCAGTTTGTGCTTCATCATGATGTCCGTCCGGCAAATCTCCCATTCATCCGGCTCGGGACTCAGCGGGAAGACTGTGGGCTTATTCTGCTTAGGTGCCGGATACAGGAGCGGAGTGATCAGGCCATGACCCTCATGGGGCACACTATGATGATGCACAAGCTCCGCCAGAGTGTTGAATTTGGCCTCCTGGGTGACAAAGACTTTGCCATCGGGATCCTCTGAGATGCGGTAGTGATAGACGCGACCCTCATATCTGATTGAAAGATACGGCATAGAAATTAGTACGGAACCTTCAAAAAGGAACTTAAATAGATTTATTCACCTGAGACTGATGCTCCTTTGACCCGGTGAGCTCTCGCTTTCACGGACCAGGAAGCTCCCATTAATTCCGGAGCTCAGCAAATACTCTGCGGCATTGCGCGAGATGGGGCCATGATACCAGGAGTGCTTCTCCAGCGAATTGAGCGGCGTCACATAGTTTGAGGGCACCCATCCCACGTTTCCGGAGTCTGAGTGCGCCTCGCACCACTCCCCCGATTTGTTGTAGCTAAGGATGCGCACCTGCTCGCCCTTCTTCAGGCTCAGCTGGTTCTCTCCGCCAGCCTGGAAATCATACAGCGCCACAAACAATTGCGGATCATCCTCCTCGGGTCCGGGGGCCAGTAGATTCTCCTTGGAGGTCCACCGGTGTGCCGACTCAAACACTGATGTGGTCGAACTGTGACCGCCGCCCAGGGAGGACCCCTGCAGTCCAAGTCCGCCGGAATCCTGCTGATGCTGCTGGAGCTCCGCATCCGCCAAAAGAGAGGCCGCCGTGCTTCCGGCCGGAATGAGAGGTAATGGACGCGACTGCAGCAGGGCATCTGCAAGGGAAACATAAAGAAAGCAACCGAAATAAATAAATGATCTTAGAATTAAATTGATTTTACATAAATATTTAGTATTTCAACAGGTATTTAACTCTCGAACTTTGTATATACCGGTTAGATATTCCCTTTAATCTTATACGTATATAAATTATCTCAAACGCAAAGTTATAGTTATAACATTTACAATTTACATTGGTTACTGTTGTAAAAATCTTTAAACACGGTTTCATTACCGAATTACCCTGATGGTCAGGAAAACTTACCCATGATTAAACCGCCTAAACAATATTATCGCAAACAAATAAAATTTCAAAATTATCTATTTTACTTGGCAAAAAGGTTTAATATTTTCTAAAGTTAAAATTTGAAGTATCTTGGATTTTTGTTTTCAATTATGTTTTTTTCGGTGCATTAAGAAGTAATGCAGGTAAACCCGTTTCTCTTCCGAGGAATGCGGGCAATTTGTGGAGCAAGTGCTGGCCAGCGGGGAAACCGGGCAGCTATTTCTCTGTTCCATTGAGGGAATGGAATAAATTATGCATTAAGCGGAATAAAATTACACAAATCGTTGTCTGCCAGCGGTGGACCAGGAATCCCTCAACGAGGCATTTTATTGTGGGAAGTTCTAACTGATTGTCAGTCGGTTGGATTGTCCCCTCTTCCCGACCTTTCTTTTCGCCTCCCACACTCTTGTTTAACTGGGTATCCATAGCTGTACAGTTCCCTGAATACAAAAGTTGAGTATATAAATGCATTCCAGCTGTGATAGTTTTTTATAGACCTTCACGCCTTTTTTATACCCATCCATATTTTTTAATATTTAATTTTATTATAATTAAATTAATTAATCACAAATGAATAACAAGCAAATTAGATATTGAAATGTCCTTTTATCGCCACATTTCTTAACATTGAAGATAATAAAAGGTAATCTCATAGTCCAAGTGCTAGTGGAAGTCCAACTTTTTTGCAAAAGTTGTTCTAAAGATTCTTGCAATCCACTTTAAGATGAAGTTTCGCTTGAAAGATTGTGCAAACTTGTCAGATCTAAACCTGTCCGAATCAAGCTTCTATAATAGGGTACTCATTGAAATTAAACCAGACTTTCGCTTTAATGTCCCATTGAAATAATTGTACAAATTTACATTTTTCCCATTTTTTTTTGTGCGAGCTTCGTTTGACCAAAGCAAACACTTCCGCTGCATAAATATTCTCCTCTTTCATGGACACAATTGTGCATAAATTTGGGTGAAGTGGAAGTCATTCAGAGACCGGGAATCTTCGGTTTGCGGTCGGTATGCTAAGCAGTCATAAACCGATCCAAATCATATTGTAACGCATTTGAGAAGGGTTCCCCATCGCACACTGTTAATTTATGCGCGCGAGACAGGAAATATTAATAGCGAATAATAGGTGTGGAGTGGGTTTGGGGAATAAAAGGGAATATAGGGACAGATTAGAGCGGAAATGTACGGTTCTTCAACGGTGGTCGTCTGCCCCTCTAATACCTCCAACTGAAGATTAGCCGATGACAATATACACCCACTTGATATGCAAGTTCGTAGATCCAATTTTAAGGTATGTTTTCTAAAGCTAGTGACTCATGATGGAAGTTGTGGTGTGAGGGTTGGGAATACTCATTGAATCAGCTATTTTAAGGGGTTATCAGGGAAGACTAACGATGTTGAGTCAGCTATTGATGTTGCATAACCCTTAATTATCATAATTATCGTTAAATTGCTGTAATAGAGATAATGTAACGAACTTATCTTGATGATCTTAGACAATTTCTTATAAAGACATTGATGCAAACAAAATGCAATACCAAAAATTATTTTTTGAACACTTTATGAACAAGTTTATATATTTTTTTCAATTCATCATAAATACAAAAATATATAACTATTTCTTAATACGATTAGTAAAAAAACCCATTATTCAACTGAGTAAAATTTTTGTTTTGGTTAAAATAAAAACTCCTAATGAATCATCAGTCCAGTCACTTTGGTTAGATTAGTTAAAAATACTTAACGATTACGCCAGAAAAAATCTGATTCAAAAAAATTTTAAAACATTCGGATTTGTTTTAAATTATGACTACATTAGATTTAAACATAATTTTAGAAACATTCTGATTTGTTGCAAGTTATGACTAAATGGTTTAATAGTAATACTTATACAGCAACGTTTTTTCTCATGATTATATACATATAAACAAAAACTCCCGAAATAATCCAGAAATATATAAAAGAAACTAACCCAATCATCTTATGGGAATCTTTAATTAATATGAATGACACTACTTATGTGGACTATTACTTCGGTATTTTGGTTTTTTTGTTGGTTTGTAAAGGTTTTTGTGGTTGTTACCTAAGTTCATGTGATATTTGCCTGGATGGCCGCGAAAAGAGCTGTGCTTGGTACCTGGAGAAACGAAAGAAACAGAGAGATTTTGTGTGAGAGACAGGTTGTCAGCCGACTGGACATTTATCTATAGATAGAGCAGGCAGTTTTTGATGTTATCATCTAATAACGATGGGCGGCAAATGCGATAAACTACAAAGGCGATTCGATGAGGTTCCAAAAAAAAGTCGTTACAAAGAGAATGAAATGAAAACTAAATTAAATACAATTATCTTAGTCATAACTCTAGGTAAGTAATATAAAATACATGAACAGCGATCTATTTACAGTTAGCGGATGGATGACATCAAAAGCGGAGAGGCATTAGAGAATTAGAGGGTCTTGCAACCGCAGAAAGGCCAATTAGCTACCCGGCCAGAACAAGAAGAAGAGTAATAACAACAGCAGCCAGATGATGGCTTCAGTAAGTGCTGTAATTTCTCAGCCAAGTGAAAAGTATCTCAGTAATTCTGGAAAACCTAACAAGTGAGTTTCTGTACACTTAGAGTAAAAATCTCACTAAGCTAGAAATTATTCTTCTAAATGAACTTAAATTGACATTTTAGATTTAATAGACAGAATTTCTATTTATTTTATTCTTTGAACTACTCCAACATTAAACGAAGAGTAACAAAATAAAAGCAATACATTTTACTATTTACAAATATTAAATTGTAGTTTTTTTTTGAGTGTGACACGCCCCCTAGACATTTGACAAAAAAGGGGAGTGTGAAGAAAAAACACAGAAATATATGCCCCATTCAGAGAGCTTAAGCTGCTGCTGAAGCGGAATGGGTCCAATGAACTTTAAAGTCACAAAAATTCTACACATGTCGGAAGAGAAAGAGGTGGGGATATAGATAAAGACAGAGATGGGTATAGAGACATTTCTCAAGCCATGCACATCCGCCATCTAGAGTCTGCTTATGCAGGTTATTAGCGTGAATTTGGAGCATCTCGAGCTGAGGGCTGATTACGAGTGAAATGATGCGCGGTACCGCTTCTCCACCCACTGATCCCACCCAGACCCACCAACTACCCACTTCCCACCCGCAACTACTCAAAGACCTAACGGTAAGTGTGTTGAGTAAGCACAGATTGAAATCAGCCGCCTCAGCAGCTGAAGTCCCCTCCAAAAACCATATAACGATACAAAAAAGATACAGTGGTCCCTGGAAAACTATACATTTTCATTTTATTTTACAAAGTATATATTTAGCATTTAAATTCAACTTGCAACAGTAGCCTTTATAAAATATTTATTTACCATTTAAAAAATACGATAATTGTTTAATCAGAAGCCATAGGAAATGGACAGTAATTTATTTATGATACCGAACAGCTGATGACTGATAATAATATCTCACACAGTATATTTCAAGACATCTAAAGAAACGTTTTCAAGTAGCCAGAGACTACAAATTATGCTGTAACTACTTTGCAACAAAGAACTATACATATAACTATATCATCAAGTATTGAAAAGCTTTTCATTACAGCCTTGGCTATAATAGTTACTCATTGCGAATTGTCTCTTGAGATTTCTTCAGTATCCGTCCTTTGTTTGATGGCCTGTCCTTCGCCGGAAAGCTTTAAACTTGATGTGTCTGCCATTTATAATGTATAGATATAATGCTTTGGTTCGGTTTGTTCAGTCTTGGTTTTCTGGCCAAATCGGGCTTCAATGTGTGATTTATTGCTTTGCATTTTCAACTGCTCATTCATTATTTCATTCGCTCAGTCCCATTCAGGCACTTGTTCTGTGGGTTTGATTTTTGAGGCTCTTTCTGGTTTGCTCGTTTGTAGTTCATTGCATTTCAGCACGTTTCGCTTTAGTTCTAAGTTGTTTTTTACTCTGTTTTAGCTTTGTTTTTTCTACGTATTTTTGTGTTTTCAGCTCAAGGGCTTTTGTGTCTTAACCTGGCAGGGATTTTCAGTTGGCCTCGGTCTCGTCTCCCCTTTTTATCACCCTTTTACTCTACTTGTCGGATTTCATTCACATTTTGCCTTTGGCCTCTTGGCCAGACATCCAGACGTATATATATATATACATACATGTGCAGTAACAACATATAACTGAGGGCAGGGGGCGTGGCCAGTCAACAGTAATAAACTTTTACAGTGTAAATTTAATTAGTCATTTCTCTGGCTTCCGTTGCAACGTCGGGGAATGGGGCAAAAATAGAGGAAATTCTCAGGGATTTGATTTCAACTTTTTATGCCTGACGAGAACTTTTCAATTTGATTAACTTAAAGCGCGAAATTAAACACACAAACAGGAAAATAGCCTTAAAGCCAGATTAATAATGGTAAACATTTTTATTGCTATTTAAACAAAAAATAAATGTATTATTTGCAAAAAGAAATAGTTATTGCAGTATGACTGATTTTCTCTCGTAAAATCATTTTAACGTCAAAAGTTTAATTTCAGAATTTTAACTTTACGTACTTAGAGAAAGAAATAGTTATGCTTCAAAGTTAAAAAAAAATTGAATTGTTTCTCTGCACGTACAAAATATGCAAGAATGTATTTTCTTTGCTTTTATGGCTTAATGATAACTTTTGAAGCGGAACTTTTGAACGGAACTTGAGATCATTAAACTGGAAGACCCGATTAGAGCAGCAAATAAGCCCCAAAGGGAAATGGAAACCGAAGCTAGTTAGGGAAACATGAAGAAATTAACCTAAAAACCCAAAGTTTTCCCTGCCCAACTTTCGAGAACAGCATATGGTTATCTGGGAATTTAAGTTTCCCGTGTAATTTCCTCTTTTTTGACATGAGAAAAAAGCAACTGGTAACTGACAGGGCAAACAAAAAGTTGTAGGAAATGCATGCAGCAAAAATGTGTAAGAATTTTATTTTTTTTTTTGCACCCCCCAGGGTTGAGATCAAGTTCCTCCCCTTGCATCCAAGTGCGAAAAAATGTTGTGCGAAAAAACTACAACCAACGAAAGAGATGGCGAATGGCTAGAGTGAAATAGAAGCAAGAACAAAAGGAAAGTTATGTGAAGGCAAAGAGCCAGAGGGTCCAAGGATCTAAGGGGTGTCGTGGGGTGCAGAGGTGGCCAGGACTTGGCCCTGCTCCTGGCAAAGGGAACGAAGAAAAAGAATGTTAAATATAAAATCCACCCTTGGCTGACAAAGGCAACTCTCCTCGCACGAACCCCTCGACTTCCCCCTTTAGCCACTGGCAAATTTTACCACTTTTCTAAGGATTCCGCACTCAAGGCTCACTAGGCTGCCTTACACTGGATTCAGGGGGAAAAGGACTAAAGTCGAGGGGTGCATACAACCTAATGCGACGCGTGACGCAGCACTCACATCTCCGTTACACTTAAAAAGAAAAATAAAAAACGGTTTTGCACTAAAAACTGCATTTGAAGTGCATACTAAATAAAATCTTAATCGATAATTCTTAGAGTTCTCAAATAAACTTAATGATGTCTTTTAAATGTTGTTAGGGTATGCTTTACAAGTGCATACTTCAAGTGGCTCAAATCAAGTTGCAGTTATTATTAAATTGACGGTCAAAAAATTATAACTAAAATAAAGCTATTCCGTTGTAAAATCGTGATCTGCCTTGCATGTTGAAACTTATAGTTTTCAAGTGCTCTACGAGGACCTAATTATAAAATTGGCCATTTTCCTGAGTGCACTCGCAATTCCCTCAGGCCTGTATATGCCAGTAACTTGATGGAAATCAAGTGAGTGCAATAAATATATATTAAAGTGAGACAGACGGAGCAAAAAAAGGTGGGACAAAAATCAATAATGAAAAACCTTTTCCGCCACAGCCGAGCGATGAGTGTCATCCATAAAATCGCATCATCGCCAGCAAATTAATTGAATGCCAGCATCACGGCCACAAGCGGACCAAAATGGAGGCCCAGGGAGAAGTGGAGGACATAAAAAGGATAAGGTGAAGGACAAACGCTGCGACAAACCACATGAATGGGCGGATCATGTACTTTGGAAACGACGCTTTGACCACCCTCTAAATAAAGAAAGTTAAAAAATTTTTACAAGGTGCTGAACGACCCGAAACCGCAGAGGTTTAAAAATTTTGAGGATATGAACCGAACCCACAACAAAAGCGATAATTTATTTTAATAACAATTATTAAGACTCTAAATATATAAACATAAGAACTTAAATAAAGCAATGCAGAATGGTTCCAAAAAAATTTGAAATTGAATATTTCCAGGGTATTCTTTGCGCGATTATACAAAATTAGCAACTTTGTGGAGAAGGTCCTATCGATCCATGTTCCCTTGAATGTGCTGCTGTCCTTGCCACAAAGTTCACAAAGCTGCAACATTTTTGCTTTTGAATGGTTTTCGTTACGTGCAGGGGAAAGTTTCTTTCAAAGTTATCTCGAACGGAATCTGCTCGTTTATATCGGGCAACTTTATCAATTACAGACTGCAAGGTTCACAGGAAATGCACCCTTTCTTCCCGTGATGGTATCCATGGCATCACGTGACCAAGGGTCTATCTCCATTGTCTAGTGTGAACGAAATTGACTTTTAATTGTCGACGATGACCAGAAACAAAACAAGGGGAAAAAAGCCATTGGCATGCACAATTTGTGTGGCTATGCAAATGACAAACAGAACGAGTCCAAAGAGGAGAGCCAAAGAAGCTAATACGACGCGTTGGCCAAAGAGTCGGAATTCAATTGTGAGTGTCGAGTGAATGACTCACTGCGAATAGGCAGTGTGCACAGTGGGGAAAACAAGTTATGTGGATGGTCGTTTTGATTATCATCTGGTGAACCTTATCACTCACATGTGATATTTTAATTTACATAATCTTCTAAAGAAATACCAAGCTTAGGACATAATGATTTTGGGCTAAGCTTGTACCACCTGTACCCTTTTCAGAAGGATATTTTAATAATAAGTATTTAGCCTTCATTTAAAGGTTTTTTGTTTTGACCACCGTACATTGGTTCTATGGGAAAGACTCGAAAATCACACACGCTGTTCATTCATGATTCTTTATTGTTTTGGATTTCGGT